TATACCTATAAATTAGGTGTCTGAATGTTATTAGAGGCATATGCCAATCTACTTCGTGCAAGCAAGTAATAGTATTTGCTAAACGGAGCATGGTTAGGAGAGGTGATCGAAGAGTGCTACTTACAAAGGGAATATTAAACATAATCGCGGAACGCGTAGGTCTAGGAGGTACATTAAATGGCAAAACTGACAATATTTCTGCGGAATTTATATGGTTATTTATGATTTTATACAAAAAAAGTATAGCAAACATTTTTCTCCTACAGTCTAAAGAAGGTATTTTAAATTCACTTCGTAATTGTGTTGTTCTGACACTATTATAATCTGGTCTAATAAAGTATTTTTTAAAGTAAAGGTATCTTAAAAATTTGTTTTGTATTCTTTCTAATTCCTGCAAAATGGTTTGGTATTCTCGATTCCATATTACAGAGCCATATTCAAGTTTAGATCTTACTAACGTAACATATATCAATTTTATAGAATCGATTTTGACAAAAAGAGACGTCTGTCGTATCGTAAATCCAAGAGCGCGATTTGCAGATTTTACTACATTTTCAATGTGTTTTTTAAAAGATAGTTTATAGTCATACGTAATTCCTAAGTCTTTGAATTCGTATACCCATTTTAGTGACTCATTATCCATACAGTAATCAAAAATAATTGGATCCTTTTGTCGAGTAATTGACATTACATTGCATTTTTTAATATTAAAGTCTAATTTACATTGAGCACTCCATTCCAATACACTGTTTATATCTTTTTGCAAAGCTGAACAATCTCTAACGGTTTGTATAGGCTAAAATATTTTTACATCATCAGCAAAAAGTAAACATTTGGAATATCTAATAACATCTGGCAAATCATTAATAAATAAGAGGAAAAACAAGGGACCCAAGTTAGATCCCTGTGGAACCTCCGATGAAGCGTGAAATTTACCTGAAGTGTTTCCATCGTGTTTTACTACAAAAAATCGATTTTGTAAATAACTTTTAAAAAGATTCATAATATTTTCAGATAGTCCAAAACGATAAATCTTTTGTAGTAAGACGCCATGATCCACTTTATCAAAGGCCTTGCTAAAATCTGTAAATATTGTGTCTAGTTGAGTCTTATTTTCTAATGAGTCATTTGCTTCGTTGATGTATATTAACAGATTTTAATTCACAGATTTTTTTGATACAAACCCGTGTTGTTGTTCTACAATGGTATTTTTGACAAATGCATACAGTTTACTATAAATAATTTGTTCAAAGAGCTTTGAAGGAGCACACATAACAGATATCGGCCTATAATTGCCTCCTGAAAGTTGTCTGTAAGCACTAATTTTTTTTTCAAGATTGTCAGTTTGCATTTTTCCTGTCTGAACATAATCAAACATAATCAACTTTCAGAGTTACCAAACTATATTTTATATGTTCTACTAGAACATATGTGCACTGATATAAAGCTGAATGTGTTTCTTTGGTCAAACCGCTAATACCTAATAAAGTCCATTTATCAAGCCACTTTAAAAAATGTTGTAAATAAGTTAAGCGGCTGTCAGAAATATCCGTGAATGGTCTAGCCAATTCATTTTTTTTTTAAATTCCCCTTTAAATTTGGATTTAACATTTACTATAGTCTACCAATCGCTAATAACTTTAATAAATTCGTAAGTGCCAGGACTTGTTATTATATTTGGGTCAGCTGATTTCAGTGCACAATATGTGGATTCATCAAATATATTACAAACTAGTTGAACCTTTTGCCTTTCGAAGCTATTTGGATAAACAGATTTAAAATTGAGTTTATAACCAGTCCTTAAAAGTTGATTTGAACATTTAATTCGATAAAAATTTCTAATATCTAAAAATTTTTCAAGTAGTGGTGTTCCATCGATATTGTCAAAAGGAGGAAATACAAATGATTTTTCAACATCCTTTTTATTTATCCAATTATTTCTAATATTCTTAAAAACATGAACCGAATCAAAGGTCAAAAAAGTACTATGAAAAGAATTTGGTATATGTATTTGAAAATGTGATGTGGGCAATTGATTTTTTGAATATTCAGATAAGTATAGATGAAACATTGTATCATTAACTTTGTTATTATCTGATATAATAGCTATTATATGAAAACCTGATTTTACTACTAAATTAAAAACCTTTTTGGTTAACTCATACAGATTGACTCCTGTCAGACTTTTTACGGGATGCAAACTAACTACTTCTTTCATATGACCAAATGCAGATGATATCATAAAAGCTTGAACTGTTTTAGCCAAAGTTTCAGGATCATTTTCAAAACTTCCATACAACTTTCCATTTTTGAAATCTAGTTTGGAATTTACATAAATTTCGACTAATTGTAAAATAACAAATCTTTCAATATTATTTGTCTTTTTACTTAAAACTTCTAAAAAATGATTGTTTCCTTGTTCTGATTCAGGCGAAAGAATAAAAGATGATGATATTTGCTGTAAATGTTTTACATGTGGTAAAATTAGACAAGAAGTTTCTCTTATAGAAACATATGAAGTAGACGACTGTAAGTAAACCATAAAAGACCATAAAATCATTTCTGATGAATATTTTCTACTTTTCGAAAAAATTGAATTAAATTGCTCTATTACAAACTTTAATTGTTTTTCATCATTACTTTGGGAATTCTCACTTACAACCATTTCTTTCAGATGACACATTTTCTTTTTAATACATGCTATCAAGGAATCTTTTGAAAGCAACAAATCTTCTCTTTTTACATCTTTATACCTTATTAAAATGTTTTCCAATTGAGACCATCTACTTAATTTTAAATTGTTTGGCAAGATCCAACTTAATTGTTCACTTGTTATTAAATTTTGGTTTGCAGACAGTTGACAAACCATGTCCAGAGATATTTTTAAACAAACTGTGATGACTGGCACATCTTCAAAATCACACTTATAAAACACCACTTTACACGGATTAATGTACAAAGTCCATTCATTGAACACTTTGTTTCGTAAACTAGAAACAAAATTCTCTTAACTAGGAATTAGATTTGCATCTAACCACTCCTCTCTTTGTCTTTCAGCCCTGTTAAATAGTTCTTGCTTACGCTCTTCTGGATTTCTCCTTGGAATATTTTCCGTAACATTTAAATATTTTGGCACATTCGGAAATATGGTAGGTACTGCTTCAGGTAACAAAACTGTTCTGCTACGAGGATACTCTTTCCATTCACCTGAGACATCTTTGTATGTTTCAAATCTTGAAACATCGTTTTCTTTAAAATGTTTGATACACACAACAGATGTTTTTGTGGGACTCCAATCTTTTCTTGGAATATTTTTCAGCCATAACTGTCGTTTATCCACATCCACAGGAAATCTAAAAACGGTTACATAACCGTCTTGGGATGAAGCATAATTGCTGGTACAGCCAGGAACGCAACATTTGGGTGGCATTTCTCTCTATAAATGAGAAAGTAAAGTAAGAATTATTTTCTGATTATTTTCCCTCACATATTTTGTTTTTGCTATTTAAAGTAGCCTACTTACCAATGCAGAATATAACGTGAACACTTCTCAATTATTATAAATAAAATTACAAAGATATTAAACACATAAACACAAACACTAACAACAATAAACTAAAATGGCAGTACAACTAACAATGATGTGGATGTCGCTCAAGCTGCCTACCTACCCTCGATCGGACATCGGACCACACGCGGCGTTGCCAGTTTGACCACTCTCCGGCCTGTAGATACAGACGGCCATGATCTAGGTGTGATCTTCGATAGTTCTTTGACATTTGTCCCATCAATAATAGATCTCTGAAAACATTGGGATTTGTGACCAGGTTCTCTAGGGAATTCTCTATGCCTGCATTCCGAACCCTTTACTTAACACTAGTGCACAGCATCCTTTTATATGCTTCACCAGTCTGGTCACTTCATTACCGGACTCATATTTTAAATTTAAAAGCGGTTCAAAATAGGTTTCTAAGAACTTATCAGTGGAGGTTACATATGCCTTATCTTTCTAAGAAGGAGCTTAATAACCATTTAAACTTATTGTCAGTTGAGAAAACGTTAATTAGTAATGATATTTTATTTCTTTATAACCTCCTAGAAGGGAATATAGCTTGTCCGGATATGTTGGAGCTAATAAACTTTAGATTAAACAACATAAATATTAGAGAGAAACCATTATTTTCAATTAGCTTCCATCATACGAACTACGGACTCAACAGTCCTTTAACCAGATTTCAAAGGCAAGGAAATGAAATTAACAGACACACTGATCTTTTGGGAGTTAGTCGGTTTAGGTTTAAAAATCAGCTGAGGTAGTACTTATCGAGTTAGCTTTAGCTCTAAGTTTTTTGTGATATTTAAGTTTTTTTTTGTTTTTTTGTGTGATACTTTAGGTTAGGTTTAAAATATCTACTGATAATAATTATTTTGTAAAAGGAGATTTTCCGTAAATAAAAAAAAATAAAAAATAAAATAATTTCATTACTTTCACTACTAACAGACATATTGATAGGTAAAGTTGAGAAAATGTTTGAATACAATAATATTTTGTTACAAAAATTGACAATATAAATGACAAGACGTTTATTTTCATAAGAAAACGAGACTTATTTTTTGAAAAATTGTATATGTGTTGCCGACATTTAGGGGCATCACTTTTTTGGTCCAAAATGTATCTCGCTAATGCTAAAAGTTTTTATGTTTTTCAATGGACTAAAATTTATGTAAATAGACCAAATAAAGTTGTACGTAAATAAAAATTTGATTAAACCAAGAAATTTAAGTTTTCTTATCAAAACGGACGTATATGCTATCTCATTCCATGCATGTTATTGTTAAATGTCATTTACAAGGAATGTTGACAGTGCGATTTTTAACGTTTACCGACATGGGCGTAGAAAAAATGTTATTATTTTCAGCTAGGTAATCAAACAGATATTTTATTAGCATTTATAAATATATAATATTTAAATAAGTAGAAAATAAATATTATAAAACAACTGGTATTTAATGGATAAATGAGTTTGAAAATAACGGATCATCCTAAAAAAAATCAAAGTAAAAAAACTCCACGTCTCTCTTCAACTTAAAATATATTTATCCAACAAACATCGTCTTGAATCAGTTTTAATGTCAATTAAGAGTTTACGTTTTTTTGCATCCTCCCGTAAGTTGTACAGTGGTGGACATTGCTGAAAAGAAAAATTAGCTAGTTAACTCCTTAATAGAAAAAATAAAAAATGGACTACTCAAAACTATCACATCACTCTGAAAGTACAACAAAACTAAGTTTGCCATAAGAAAATCATAAATCTTAAAAGTGGTCCACAATACAACGAGATATAAATCCGGCGCGCCACAACTACACACGCCCCAAAATAAAACCAAATTGTTGTTTAAAAAAGAAGAATTGTACATGTCTGATTTTTTCCATGGATTACTTTATAGACTCTCTGTGGATCCCACGTTTAGAACCAATGACCGTCCTATTCCAAAATCGACTATCATGAAATAATATAAATAAACCATGTCTTCGGAATGAAGCGATAATTTTGAACGGCAGTATATTAAGGTGCATCAAAAATAAGAACATTTTGTTTTTTTACAAGATTGTTCGTCTTTTTTTAGTTGAACACAACAAGGATTATGGAGTCTTTATTCTTTTAAAACAAAAACAAACAATGGATATTTTGTATCTCATAATCCACAAAAATATCTATTGGCCGAATTGTAGTAGATTTGCAACGGCATTAAAGAACCAAAATGTAACAGATCTGATAAGCTAATTCTATCAATCTATGAAACATAATTCAGATAATTTCTTGCGAAAACATATTTTTTTCAGACATTTTTATAGCTTACTATACTTCGAAACAAATAAAGTGATAATAATTATGGATGTGCCAATAATTATTATTATTGATACATCCAAATTAATTATCAATTAATTTTTTGCCTAAATCAAATAGTTTCAGATCAAAGAATCTCCAAAAACATACATACTTAATATACTGGAAAGTGAAAGAATTAGTCAACTATAATTATTATTGAATAGTAGCAGATATGTAACATTACGAATTTAAGGGTTAGTTAAACAATAAATCTAACAATATATATTACCGTAAAAAGAGTATAATTTCCTATAACATATAGAGCCTGTTTTGCTCTAGTAAGCGCGACATTGAGGCGTTGTTTATTGGCCAGAAAATAGTTTGTACTATATCTGACACAAGAAATAATGACGACATCATTCTCCATTCCTTGGAAGCTATCGACTGTATTTACCGTAATTTTAACATTTTGGTTAAACCTGTAAACATATTCAATATTAGTTTTACGTTTATAAATGTTTTAATCAATGACGAAAAACTACTATACTCTGTTTTTAAACTAAGAGGAGCGATTTGAATTTAAGTTGGCAATTCTGTAGCCTTCTGATTGGTCAGATTACAGTCAGTTTCACACATTACTTTTTAGCATGAACATCAGCTAATAATTGATATTGTTGACAGTTCTGACATTTTATAATTTGATATCTCATCCATTACTTAGTTTTTTACTTTATTTCGTAAATAATAGTTCTTCAGTAAGCAATTGTATTGAAAATCTACAATTATGGATCCTTCTACACTGAGTACTATTAAAGGTAGCAATTCCTGAAAAGCCTTACAAGAAAGGGAAGACACCTTATTATTTTACATACTGATTCTGAAGGTTTTGTAGGAAATGCATTATTGGTTTTTGAAGGTAAAAAGATGGGAGATTACCATGAAGAGATGAATTCCGAAGTATTTTAGAAAAAAATAATTTTATTACTGATTTTTTAAAACTAAAAATTGATGAATTTCTAACCAAAATGATTAAAATGTAACTAAATATTTAAGCAAATTTTATTTATTAGAATAGAATAAAACTATTTACAAAATTGTTATAACATTTAAAACACCATCTACTACTTTAGGAATAATCTTAATTCGGCACAATAAGTTAACATTATTTTCACAAAAAATATTTTAAAAATACTTCAAATTAATACATAGGTATGTATGAATAGTTCACTTTAAAAAATATATGTTGACATGTAGTGTTATGAAAATGTTGGTTTCAGTTTTCAAAATAAATTCATAGGCCTGTAAACTTTTGAATGCCCTTATTTGCCCTCTAGCGTATTAACCATGGGTTAACACTAAATAAGCCATAACATCCACATTACTCATAGAAGAGATACCAGTTACTGTGTGATCCACTTGTCATTCACTGATTTAACTTTTACTGTTTATACCTATAACAAATATATCCTTAAAAATGTAAACAGATCTTTATATTTTACGCTAACCTGGCTACATCTGGATATTCCATTAACAATTTTCTTAAATATTTAATATCCATTTTAAAAAGATCATAGTTATTCTCAAAAAGTCGATTTCAAAAGCTAGAAAAAAGTATTTCTGACATCAATCAACAACCATATTGACTTTAATTTGACAGTGACATTTCGTTTTAGACACATTTCAGATCACAATAATGTGAAATTTGCGACCGTTGTCTGGGACCAATTAAAAAATTACTTCTATGACATTTATTAGTTTCTTAACCGCTCATTGGCCGTTCACCAACTAAGGCCGATAAAGATAATTATTTCATAAATTTTGAACACGACTATATTTCGAAACTCGCTCTTAGTAACAAATCTAGTTACTTTTCCCTGTGTAAATGCGTCTTTTCAATTCGCTCCTCCTAGTTTAAAAACAGAGTATAGACCAATCCAGTTATATATAATTGAAAGTATTCAGGTCTTGTTTTATCTTAAGTAGACAGATCTGTCAGCTTGGCTGCGGAATTAGAAAGAGCGAGACACCTACTAAATTCAGTGGGGATGGTTTGTGTGAACATACATTTTATGAATGAACTAGCTCATATAACTACGATATTTGCAAAATAAATGATGTACTTTCCTATAAATCACCTTCAGCTACAATAATAGTTACAACCAGAAAAGGTCATTTAACTGAAAAAAGCTGACATTGAGATTGTAAAAAAACTTCCTTAGTGTAATTTTGAAAGCCTTTTGTGCGTTTGAAAGCCTTATGTTTACTAAATTTTGAATTATAACCATAAACAATCCTTGTTTGTATATGGACTATATTATAGTAATAATTTGGCAACTACGCAAATAAAACTGTAAATGCTTGCAATTTCGTTGGCGGTTGGTCTAGTAGTTGTTAATCGTTGGTTAAATTGAATTTCCAAGAAAAAATATTTGAGGTGTGGCAATTAAATATCGATACTAATACCGATAAATATTTTGAAGATGTCTTTTCTTACTGATCTTTCCCCCACCCTGAGCTTGATAGACATGGTTGCACATCAGTGTCTTACTATAGCAATCGCCCGATTCATATTCTTGCGCTAGCATCTCGTCTTGTGAAACCGTAGAAAACTGCTACAGAAGATCATGCCATGTTAAGGGGATTCTTACTTTTTTCTAGACGGTACATTTCTAATTTTCATTTGGTAACATGTTACGCAGTGAAACCGACGTGAAGATATATTTTAGTTGAATAGATCAAAAGTTGACAAATTCGTTATTCACATATGAACGTCGCTTGTTGATATGCTGCAATTAACTGGTCTATTACTCCAACCACACCTTATGAGATATAGGAAATCATATCTAAAACAACTAAAAAAACAACACCAGGGAATGATGGAGTTCATGGGAAAGCTCTAAAAGCAGTAAGTGACATTATATCATATCCACTTTCACACATAATTAATAAGTCTTTTTGTATGGGCAGAATGATCAGGAACGGAGTAATCAGACGAAAGTCTACTTGCTTCAGGACTAAAGATACCTGGGACATGCCCCAGGATGAAATGCAAAAGAAGTAGTTTTGTGAAAAACTTCAAAACCACAGACCTGGGCTGCAAGAAAGAATGGAGCCAAGAATACATCGCGCTTGCAACCGAAAGACGTGTTATTCAGTGGTATACGGACAGTTCCAAAACCATAGAAGGAACTGGAATAGGAGTGTATGGGCCGAGAACCAAGCACTCCGAAAGCTTGGGAAAATACCCAAGCATCTTCCAGGCGGAAATTCACGCCATCGAGAAGTGTATCCAGTTTAACATCGAGAGAAACTATCATAGACAAGAGATTATCATCATGTCCGATAATCAAGCAGCCATCAAAGCGCTGAGTTCTTACGTAATCAGCTCAAAAATGGTCTGGAGATGCCTAGAACAATTGAATGAGCTAGGCGAGAAAAATAGAGTTACTCTCACTTGGGTTCCGGGACATAACGGGGTACAGGGTAACGAGATTGCAGATAGTCTTGCAAGGAAAGGGGCTCAAACACCCTTTGTAGGACCTGAGCCGTTCTGCTGTATCAGCAGTAACATAATATTAGGAGAGATTAAAAAAGAATTGGGTAGTAGAAGAACCGATAATTTGAACAATCTCTTGGGGCTGAGACAGACCAAGATACTTCTGGGTGAATATAACCAGAAAAGATCGGAAGCTTGCATCTGCCTAAGCAAGAACAGGCTACGTATTGTAACAGGGATCCTTACCGGACATTGCCTACTAAAAGGACACCTAAGTAAACTGAGAGTAGTAGAGGATAGTGAGTGCAGATTCTGTGAGGAGGAGGATGAAACCTCCATTCACATCCTAACTGAATGTGTAGCACTCCAGAATCCAAGGGCACTATATCTAGGAGGATATCAAATAGAAGAGGGAGATTTACCTAACTTGAAGCCACTTCAAATCCTACACTTCCTTGAGAAAATAGGATTGGAAGGGTCGCTATAGACATTGAGACATTTCCTTAGTGCAGTGGCGACAAGGGGGCACAATAGATCTTTTAGGTCGCAGTGTATTAACACCCCATTCTCAACATAACATAATATGGGCATCTATCCGAATTTACTGAAAATATCAGTCAATACCCATATTTAAGAATAAAGGGTCCGTAAACGAGGTTAGCAACTACAGAAATATTAGTCTACAGTCGCAATTTGCTAAAATCATTGACTATAGCTACAATATGAGATTAACCAACTTTTTAGAACAGAAGGGACTAATACCTAACTGGCAACATGGCTTTAAACAAAAAAGGTCAACAGAAACTGCAATAAGTGAACTCTGCAATAATGTCTATAATCACCTAAATGATAAAAAATATCCACTAGCTCTTTATTTCGATCTTAGTAGAACATTTGACACTGTAGATCATGATCTTCTCTTAGAAAAGCTGTATCGCATAGGCGTTCGAGGTGTCACGAATGTCTGGGCTGCTTCCTATCAGCGGGGAAGATCTCAGATTGTAGCTATAGAAGATGCTACATCCACTCCCGGACTAACAACAGAAGGAGTTCCCCAGGGCTCAGTTTTAGCCACACTATTTTTTCATCTTGTTTATGAGCGACTTAGAATACTCATGTCCAACACCTAGAATAACTACCGTTGGTTATGCTGATGATACTAATGAACAATTTCTGTCTCAAATATTAAGCGCAAATGAATTCCAACATTGGTACTCAAATAATGGCCTATTGCTTAATTCTAATAAAACAGTATTTATGCTTTTCCAACCAAAAAATTCAAGCCTCGACGAAAGTCAATTAATAAAAATTGAACATAAATCTCTACAGCAGGTAAGGGAGGTGAAGTTTTTAGGTCTAACAATCAATGACAAGCTCACATGGGAAAGCCACATAGATAATCTCGCATCTAAGCTATGTAGCATTTGCTTTGCCATCAGACAACTTAAACCAACTGTGACTGTGGATGTACTAAAACTAACCTACTAGGGACTAGTGCATTCGGTACTTTCATATGGCTTGATTTTCTGGGGAAGTTCGGCCCACATGAATAAAGTCTTTCTCTTGCAAAAAAGAATTATTAGATGCATGATAGGAGCCTATCCTTTGAAACATTGTCAGCAACATTTTATCAAGTTATCAATATTAACTGTTTCATGCTTGTTTATTTATCTATCGGTGTTATATATTAAAAAAAATCTTTCACATCAAACAACTAATATGATACACCCCTATCCTACTCGAAGAGGTGGCGAACTTCATACACCCGTCTCAAGATTAACAGTGGGTCAAAACTCTCCGTATTATAATAGGGGAGCCCAAGCGGGGATTTCGGGATTTACTAAAGGGCAGCAGATTAATATACAGGGGGATACCTTGTACCCAGTTAAGTACCTCCACCAAATATGAGCCCCATATGTAAGGCCGCCCGTGAAGGATAAAGGATTAGATTAGTAAAAAAAATTGATTATCAGAAATTCTCGAGCGCGTCAGATTAAGGTAGGGTGAGTTAATTACATGCTAAAAAATGTATATTCCACTAATCTGACAATTTGAGAGTGACGTAAAGAAAGGGGAGGGCAGCAAAGTTGTAAAAAAAACGTCATCTCGACATTCTCGAGCGTAGCTAATTTTTTGTTTATTTGGAAGGAAATAATTAATTTACCCAACCTACCTGAGAGCAATCAGTAAAATTTAAGTGGCTCCAGGTCGCACAGATTAGGTAAATTAGTTAATTTATTTTTATTTTTTATTTGTAAAACAAGCTTCGAAGGCCACAGGCTGCACAGGTTAGGTAAATAAGTTGTTTTTTAAATGAACCAGCTATTGTTTAAGAATATCGGAAAATTTGACATTATACGCTGAGTTTAGATTCCCCGGTAATAGGGATTAGACGGACGGTTGCATGGTTTCGTTTGATTTTTTTATATTTTATTATTTTTAATGTTAATTTTCTTTTGATGTAATGAATTTAAGATATTATGGGAGGTCACTTTGAACAACTTTTATAATTATGTTTTGTTTGTTTTTGAGTTTTTTTGTATTCACTCATATTATTTATTATTATTTATAAAGAGTATTTTATGAAAACTTAGTTTAATGTTGATTGAAAATCCCGCCGCTTGTGAAATCAGATCTGTGATTCGTTTTCTGAATGCGAGGAAAGTGAAACCAATTGAAATTTATCGGCAAATTTGCGATGTTTACGGACAAAATGCGATGAGTGATTCAATGGTGAGAAGATAGGTCCGACAGTTCAATGAAGGACGTAGTGACGTGCACGATGAAGAACGAAGTGGGCGTCCATCTTTGGTTACAGAAGAACTGGTTCACGCGATTGATGAAAAGATCCAGGAAAACCGCAGGTTTACAATTAGTGCTCTCGCTATGGAATTTCCCCAAATCTCACGATCACTAATTCATGAAATTGTTACCGAAAAACTGAAATTTCGTAAACTTTGCTCACGTTGGGTACCAAAGATTCTTACTGAGCAACACAAAACAAAACGGATGGGTAGTGCACTTCAGTTTTTGACCCGTTATGATGAAGGTGGCGAAGAATTTCTGACACAGATAGAGTCACAGGAGATGAAACTTGGGTTTCTTACGACACCCCTGAAAGTAAGCGGCAATCAATGGAATGGAGGCACACTTCATCCCCAGCAAAGGTTAAGCCGAAGCAAATCTTGACACCTCGAAAAATGATGTGCACAGTGTTCTGGGACTGGAAAGGCATCTTACTCATTGATTTCTTACCGCGTGGTCAAACAATCACAGCAGATGCTTATTGCGAGACACTTGGGAAATTGCGCCGCGCAATACAGAATAAGCGCCGAGGATTGCTGTCAAAAGGTGTTGTTTTTCTTCACGACAACGCACGACCACACGCTGCAAATGTGACGAAAAACCTCCTACAGGGATTTGGCTGGGACGTGTTTGGCCATCCTCCGTACAGCCCAGACCTCGCTCCTAGCGACTTTCATCTGTTCTTACATCTCAAGTCTTTCCTTGGCGGTCAACACTTCAACAATGACGACGAGCTGAAAGAAACTGTTTCCAACTGGTTGAAGACACAGGCGGCAAACTTCTATGAAGAAGGTATACAAAAACTTGTGCCACGCTATGACAAATGCCTGCAAAATTTCGGCAGTTATGTGGAAAAGTAGTTTAAGAGTTGTAGAATTTTGTGCAATAAATAATTTTTCTGTATCTGTACACAATTTAATTTTATTACCAAACGGAACTTACTTTCTGGACGTGCCTCGTACATCATATTATAAAATTCGTGTGGGTAAAATTTTTTTTTTCTACAGTGTGTAATTGGCTGCTGGACGTTGAATTATGTACGATTCTCCCACAAAAATGTCAATTCATTGAAAAGTACCTTATATAACATAGACAAACCATATATTAGAAGAATGGAAAAAGATGAGAAAACAGAATCTAAAATAATACACTGGGGTTATCATTAAAAAAAACATGTTTGGTTCGTACACGAGCTATGCAACACCCTGTATACCTCCCAATAATTTTAAAATGTTAACCTCAAACCTGTCCATAATTTTCTTAATACACTTTTTTAATATCTCTTTCAACAAGGAAGATATCGAACTTTTCCACAAGTTTGCTCCACCCTGTATATTTTTTCAATAACATCCGATAACTAGAACAGTTATGATTCCTTTCTAAAAATCCTTCAAATTTAAGCATGTGTTAAGCCGATTTTATTCAAATGAAAAGAATTAAATCTGCAAATCAAATCAAAATATTTCACCATACCCTAAATATTAACTAAATGATTAAACTAAACGCTCTTTCCCAAACAACTATCGGCAATGAAAAACCGTGTGGAGCGTTGTACGGAATGACAAGGAGAGTATATTGAATGCGATAAACTTTCTAATGTAATTAGTGATGAATAAAATGTTTTGTACCACCAGTTCAGTTATTTAATTGCCACACCTCTCATATAGGTTGATAAAGGGTAAGAATGGATTTTGCCATTTTTTGGTTGGTAACAATTCAATAATATATATAAAATACCACTCATCATAAGAAAGTTAAAATTTACTCTATTGCACATGAATCTGTCTCCTTTTTTAAGTTTTTGTTTTTGCTGTATTAGAATATTATTCAGAAGAAAATTTCATATATTTTGAAACTCTTTGTAAAAAAAAAATTCTTACTTGATAGTTGCCACATGTTTCAGAATCAATTCTTTCTGCGCTTTATATGGCGTAATAATTCCAATGTTGTACACACACGTGGGCTTAATATAACACCTCAAAGTGTCCAACAAGTTAGAAATCAAGGTCACTTCATCCGTATTCGTATAATCTCCAGAGGGACTATCGCTTCCTTTCAAATTAAATAATACGTAAGGCTTCAATGGCGGCTCTATGGGGTTGTAACATTTCGGAAAAGAGTTTAGTGTGCCGCCGTAGAAAGCCCTGTTGGGATAGTCGCAAATTTCCGGCTTCATTCTGTACTGATCGTAAAGCATTTTGATCGGAAATTGATAGATTCGACGGTTGGGAAAATTTTCGGCTATTCTTGAAAATAAAGATTTGCCAAAGCCCAGCTGTTGAGCTTCCTAAAAGAAAAATAATAAATGTTTCTACAGAAATACACTATCTTCGGAAAACTGAACTATAATCCACGAAGAATTTAAAACTCGTGAATAACTGCATAATCGAAGAAAAAATAAATATAAATGATTGTTCAATGGATCATTAGAGATAACGGAGTAAAAATTGGCTTACTTTGTTACAAACAACTGCTGCCAGTTGCTGTGGATCCCCCACGAGTATAAATTTATCGATTTGCAGTTGAATTGGCGATAAGCACTCTATTTCATTGCACTGAGTAGCTTCATCGATAATACAGCAGGTGTATTTCATTTGCGATCTAAAAAAATACAATAAAAATGTATATAACATTACAGGAAAGTTTATTTGTATTCTAAAAAAATTCATTGATAAAATTAACAAGAAAAAATGTATACGATGTGTATTTGAGAAGAGTAAAAATAAGAGTGTAAACGAATCAGTAAATATAGCTCAACTCTACACATGTCAGTGCATATTAAAATACTGATTTTGGATGGTATCGAATCTTATAACTTTGATACATACTAAAATCAAATTAAAACACATAGCCCAAAAGAAGACGTTGCAAAATCAAGTCAGTTAATGAGCCGTGGTATACTATCAATAATGATATACGCTTTGTTAGTGATTTATGTTCCAATGACAAATATAGAGATTACACCAGGTCTTCAACAATACCCGGAACCCACGTGATTTGGTAACATCAAAAACCCAGCAAAAGGGCCTGATTTGGCTGCTTATATGTCAACTGTCGTTGTCAATACTGTCATAAATATCATTAGCATTCATGCGCTAGTTCAGTGATGATGTATTTATGGTTCCACTGACAATTAAAGTGACAGTAGATTTTTTGAGTGCGTTTTGTTCGTTTTGTTTACCTAAATTATTTCGTTTCTTCACTTTTATAAATGTATTCCTAAAGTAAGTAGATAACATGAATCAAATATTCAATAGTTGTTACCAATTACATACCTTTAAACTATTTTTTATGACCTGTAAACAATATTTAAAAATAAACTAAAAACAGTAAAAACGTATACGTCAAATTTTTTGATGTTTATGTTAAAAGTTTGGTTAGAATTAAATGTCAGTGGAACCAAAATGACATCACAATGAACTAGCGCATTGGGGGTATTAGGCATTCCAAACAAATGAATTACCAGTGGGCAGGTTTGGTATATCTAAGGGTGGCGACATATGGTGTATTCTATCTACTTTACGTAAAACCATGAATAATGGATTACATTTAAATATTTTATGTCAAACACAATAAAAATAATATTTAAAAAACCCACCTATACATTTCTTCATAAATTGGCAGGCTTGGCGAGTACTACTTCGAATTAAAATATCGTCCAAGTTGCAAGACTATGTCGCTACCCCCTTAGATATACAAGAATTTCCCACTGGCACCTATTGTTTGACAGGTCGTTGGAATGCCTAATTAGGCATTCCAAACAAATGAATTGCCAGTGGAAAGGTTTGGTATATCTAAGGGTTGCGACATACGATACATTCTATCTACTATACATAAAATCATGAATAATGGATTACATTTAAATCTATTATGTTAAACACAATAAAAATATTTAAAAAACCCGCTTACACATTTCTTCATAAATTGGCAGGTTTGGCGACTACTATTTCAAGTAAAAATAGCGTCCAAGATGCAAAACTATGTCGCTACCTCCTTAGATATACAAGAACTTCCAACTGGCACCTATTGTTTGACAGGTCGTTGGAATGCCTAATATTTATAGGTTATTGATTTTTTGCATTTTATGAACATGCTTTTATTCAATTTTTCATCAAATAATAAACCAATCCGTTTTTTTAGGGCTCATTGGTGCCTTCATTATTTTCTGTCGGTATGTACTTCAAAAGCTGAAGACGAAGGATTAGCTGCTGATGAGCCATAAGACTGAAAAGGAAGGACAACTCCAGGCCTTTTCAATCGATGAAGCATCCTACAAGGCTCTAGAAAAGTCACAATTCCGAGCCTATTAAAAGCTGGGAAGGGTGACCTTTAGTCTTAAGGCGACCTGACAAAGAAGTTCAGGATGCTACAGATCAACTTCCAGCACTGCTTCGGCAGTACTTTCAGATACTATGGAGGTTTGAAGTAGCATTGATACAGGAATCGTGAATTAAACACAGTGAAATAAAAGGGTTAGGAGATGTGGGTGAAGAGTTTATATACAACAGATTCACATACACCCCCAGAACCTGCATAATTGTCAAGCCATCAAAATACTGCCGTTAATGAATTTTTGTTTTAGGGATTTAACGGCGGCGAGAATCAAGATCAATGAAGGGAGTGGGGCCGAAGGACATTATAACCGGATCGTCATATTTCCCTTTAGCTGATCCTGAAGCAACAAATACCAGAAGTTGAGGAGTTGGTGAGATTCTGCAGACTGCGATGTGAATGCAGACCACAAGATCTGGGGAACAGCAACACCAATGAAAGAAGTCTTTATTACAATAATGAATTACTACAGATGAATAAAAAAGATGGTTACGATAAAAGAATACGATTATCTGACAATAAAACTAAATGTTTATGGGGCATATGTAAAGAAATTACTGGAAAGAATGACAAAGAAAATATTGTGATACATGGAGATCCCAAACAATTACAATAATTTTTTATCAAAAATAGTTCCAGAACTCTTAGATAAACTTCCAGAGGTTCCGTACATATGTAGCATACCAGAAAATAATAAGTCAATTTTCTTAAAACCAATTACACCATCAGAAATGGAACTTTCAACCAAAATAAAAATAAACTCATTAGTGGGGATGATGGAATCCCAGCAAATATAATGTAACGTAGTTTAAAAGATATTTTGACACTTATAATTAATAATTCCTTAAAATCGGGTATTTTCCCCAAACAATTAAAGACATCAATGGTAATCCCTATTTTTAAAAATAAAGGTGATCCAGAGTTACTTGAAAATTACAGACCCATTAGTTTGCTACCCGCTTTCTCTAAAGTTTTTAAATTAGTAATGGTGTCAAAAATCACAATTTTCATGAAGGAAGAAAAGTTATTTAATAATTTCCACCATGGGTATATTTCAGGGAGATCTACACAAACAGCAATATTTGAATTCACAACTAATATTATAAATGTTGCCAGATTTGCCGTTTCTCTTATATTATTAGTCACTTTGGTTTTTCAAATTTATCACCCTGTATATTCAGTCATTATTGAAATCTCCTATTCAATACGAGTTCAACCATATGTAACACTTATGATTTTATGTAGTCTGGAAGGTCTCAAATAAATAAAACAATTGTGGAGAAATGTGGTAGACGCATTCTACCATCGATTAGGGTACTGTCAACTCACAAATGGAGCACAATTTGAACACTTGATAAAGTAACCATTATGCTAAAAATGTTGTAATCTTTCAACTGTTACGTCTAATGTAGTTGAAAATAGTTTGTATTAAAAAATTCATTGAGACAATTAGGCATTGCCAGATTTACTTTATTATTTATTTATTATTTATAGGACATTCCAATAATGACTGAATATACAGGGTGGTGAATTTGAAAAACCAAAGTGACTAATAATTTAAGAGAAACGGCAAATCTGGCAACATTGCAAATATCACATCTGAAATCACCGTATCCCAAAATAGGTGTACCCCAAATTTTTTACAATTAGAACTAGCAATTTACGAGATAATTGGCCGTTTCCAGACTTTTGGGCCAGTCTGTATATGAATGTCTATTGTTCGTAATGAAAAATAAATACAAATTTATCAGTGAATTAATACCAGTTTACAATACAAGAAGCAGGGAACTCATGTATCCATATCACCGACTCACGTTAACAGAGAAAAACTCTCATTACATGTGCATAAATTGTATAATGCTTTATATGTAATTAAATTACAAATAATACTTGTATATTTTAGATTTTTTATTATTATAAACACAAAAACCATTAACAGTATTAAACGTTTCAAAAAACGCATACGAGAATTATTGATTGGCATGGAACCTTATAGCATGTCAGAATACCTAAATTATAACTTTAATTAAGTCATCATTAGATAGTAAAGTGACGTCTTTTCACTATAATGTTATTTATCTTTATACATTGTCAACATTATTTTTGGAAATAAAGATTATTATTATTATCATGGCAAATAATTTAGACATAATGAATGTAGGCAATAAACCTACCTTCATTACAAATAAAAGAAGGGAGGCACTCGATTTTTAACATTAGCCTCAACTTATTTGAGTAACTATGTGTCTGATGAGGAAAATTGTTCAGATCACAGACACAAATTTTAAAATAAAAGGTAATACAGTAGAACTCCAATTATCCGAACTCCGACTATCCGAATCGCCGATTATCCGAATCACAAATGCGCGTCAAGTCTTGACTTGACTTGTCTTAACTTGCCGTTGTGCCTACACTAAACTTGTACATAAGTACATTTTATTTATATTTAAAACATGTGAAAATTTCATGTTTCTTTCATTTAATTCAATAAAAAAATAGTGCAATATCAAAACGTAGCTTTTATTCTCTCCAATGGCAATTTTTTTAAAAAAAATCCGATTATCCGAATATTTGATTATCCGAATGGGTCCTGGTCCCCATTAATTCGGATAATTGGAGTTCTACTGTATTGTCAAAGAAACTGATCAGAATATTAGAAAAACAGACTAGGATGCAAACAATGTCTCCCTGGAATATAATATTCCAAAGATGAGAATGAAGATACAATAAGAAACTTAAAATGGCTATGAAGGACTTTAACGACACAGTCATCAATGCGTTCAATGACACTCGTCCTTTAATAGCAAGGAATGACCTTGCAAAGCTAAGGAAACAAGGAAAAAAATTAAATTCCAGAAGAATAAAGTACCATACGGACCAGTTACCAAAAAGCCTTAAGGAAAGTAAAGAGAGATTCCTGGAATTGGCACTGTGAGGAGATAGAAAGCACTGAAGAATGTGCCAGACTCTAGAAAATCCTTTCAAAAGACAAACAAAACAATTAAACTCTCTTAAAAACGAATTAGGAAAGTATACAAGTGAATGAAACGATAAGATTGTTGTAAAGTTTGAAATACCCTCATTCTTATAATGCACCTAGCGCCCTCTATTGCTTACTTTAAATATGTCATGTTTATATAGAACGAAATAGATCCTCCATGTGCGAGTCGTAATATAGTCGTTGCCAAAGAAGAAATGCTTGGTATTATTTTAAAACCTACCAAGTTTCCCATTTTTAACAAAGATAACTCTTTAGGGTTCATTTCCCTGAGTCACAAACCATAGAACACACTTCGGCAACAAATAACGTGTCTGTTAAAAATAACATTTCTTGTCCATCATAACCCCTTTACTTAGTAAATAAATAATTTCAATTAACATTATGGTTTATTAAAGTTCTACCATCTAGCTATAATTAACCCCTCAGCTCGTTTAGGGAACCTTAAAAACCCTAAACGCGGCAATATGACATCCAGATTATAAATCGCCATGCGTTACCGTCTCGATAATGGCGGGTTTTCCTCACTTGTAAGTCAAATGGAACCTTCAATCATCTTTAAGGCACCTCAAAGCACCTCAACAAATAATAATAGTCATCCTTTTCTCATACCAGCTTGGCTTCAGGGGTTGAAATTCACTCGTAAGGGGGTGAATTAAGGAAAGTATTATTATTATTATTAGTCAAATAGTGATTACATAAAAAATTTAAAGATTTTTACATTCGCCTACATTAAATTCTAACATAAAAATATAATAATATAAAGCAACTTTAATAATAAGAATTTTTTAAACATTTTCACCTACTTCTGATACCAATATAATATTTATTAAGTTAGGTAGTTTTTGCCGTTTTCAACACTAAAAACCACACATTCTTGAAGTCCATAGACATGCGTGTCAGGATGGACGAGCGGGAGAAGAAAGACCAGCGCAGTAGGCAGTACGTGAATAGACAGTAGCAATGCCACATCAACATTGTAATTGAAAATACTTGATCCGTGAATTAAACCATTGAAAAAGCAGTTTAGACCATTTTTATTATATCTCATCTGTTAATATGTATATGAAAAGTTCTTCAGCATCACGTCAGAATATTGAGGGGACCAAACCATTTGATCTTGTGTATAATAATGTTGTATATTGTATAAAAAAGCAGAGCCCAGTGCGTATAGCAGTATAAAGGTTAATCTCATCTTGAACAACTTTGCAATGTAACGTTACGATGGTATGGATAGATATTACCTGTCATTATAGTTAATTTATTTCATTTAAAATAATACTACAAAAGGAATTCTAAAATTTGCTGGTACAAAGTAATAATAATCAGATCTTAAAGGACATTAATGACTTTAGCTGAAAAAAGTATTTATTAGATGTATTAATGGTTAGTTTTATTGATTGGTCTTCATAGTTCAAACACTAGGAAGTTTGTTATAAAATAGAATAATGTCTATTAGTTATTGCTTGGCCAGTAATGGTTTTAATAGTTTTATTCTTTGCTATTTATATTTGTTGATACGTAGATCTATGTATATTCAAATAAATACATTAACTTACTTTCTTGTGTGCTGATTGAGAATAAAGCTCAAACAACTACTCAACGTCGTACAAATCAAATTCGCACCGAGTAGTATCTTATCTTCAGCAACTCGATACTCGTATGCATACTGATTACCCAGATATCCTTTTAGAAACTCTTCGCTATCCAATAAATTATCGCATACTTTTTTAAAATCCGGATGATGATTTAACTTTTTATCAATCAATATATTCTTTTTGGCTTGAAATTTGAGCGTAAATTTGTTCACAAGTTCATTTATACTCGAATCCGGACCTATCCTTACGATTTTTACCATCTTTTGATCGGGTGCTACAAAAATTATTAATAGTTCAATGACAAGTGGTCTAGTTGAATCAGCTTAATCAGGACAGTCGCATATTTGAGCCAAATCTTAAAAAAATGTAAATTATTTTGGTATTTACACTGTAATGCTATTTATTTTGGGTTATTTAGAAGCAGCAAGAAAATTCGAAACATTAAAATAAATAAAATAACTAAATTGCGAGTTTGAAGGACCATATAAGTGGTAGAAATCGTCTAGTATTATAGAAAACGGATATTAACTTAGTTAGTTAGTAGTGAATCAGCCTTACTCTTCACAGGATGCAAAATAGTTTGGGTATAATGTGCAGTTAGGTTTGGTCAGACCCTAATGGATAACAACCTCACTATCGGGAATTATTTCTTGGAAGAAGTACCATAGAGTTTGGTTGAAAACTCCAGTTCGAAGAAGCATACATAGAATCGTGTTCTAATGTGGCAGTAGTCTGTTTAGGATTATGCAAGAGGAATATTAACTTGATAATCTGGATAGGTTTAGAAATTCATTACTATAGACTTGTAGTGGGTACGTTATGACAGGAACATACTAATGAAGAGTGTGGCAATCAAGAAAACATCATCCTGTAGGTTATATTCAAACTAGTCAGCTTACCTAGGGATTTCCGAAATGATAGGTGCTTGTAAAGTTTTATTATTTAAGTACCAATCAAATAGCAATTCAAATACCATAATTTATTATAATACTGGCCCAAAGGGGGTTTTTCCCGGGTAAGGCTGGCTAGTTTCGAGGGTACTGCAGGTAGACCGGGAAGAAACTAAAATCGAGTTCCTTACTGACTTCGGCTGCGGCATAACATTACATTACTTTGTGAAATAAAATTAAATGCAATTATTAAAATAGTAAAATTAATAATATTGTTTCTGTTACCAAACAACCCCTTAAAGAGAAAACTTACTCATCACAAGAATCAACCTGAATTGAGCCTAGTGTGTGGATAGTTTGGTAAGAGACACTTCTCTAAATAATGGCTAGAAGTAGTACTAATAGGGCAACATGTCCCGATTAAGCAGAATTCAATGTATTACATTACTAATTAATACTAACCTGGTAACTCCATTCTAGCTTTATATAATTTTAAAATTAAACCATCTATAGCGGTATTTGAAGGTGCTGTTAAAAGTATACGCGGCTGTATTCGCCTTGCTCTACATTTATATAGTATTTCCAATACGATGCTTACTATCACAGACGATTTACCAGTACCCGGGGGGCCTTTGATTAAATAAAAACCTGGAGACTTTCCTAATGCCATTTCAGAGGCCTCAGAACTTATTTCTTTTTGTATAGGATTTAAATTTGGCTGAAAAAAATCAAGATTTACAGAAATTTAAAAATGGTACGAAAATATTTGAACAAGAAACAATCTGAGTCTATCTAGGGATTATAAAACGATAAATACGAACGTTGATGTCCATGTTACACCCCTGACCTGTTTATACTGTCTGTCAATTCCCATTATTTCATTTGTTGGTATGTTATTGATCAGTTTTTGTTTTGAATAAACTATTCTATTACAGGAAATTACGCAGGATCCAGATTTGGCACCTAGCGACTACAGTGTTCACGCAAAGAAAGAGCGTTTGAGTAGAAAAAAAAAAATTAAATGACAATCATGATTGTGTTGTGACGCTCTTGAAATGTTTTAGCATCGCTGGGACAGTGCATTAGAATTAAGGGCGGAAATAAACGGCCCTTAATGTGCGGTTGTTGTCGTTTGCATTATGTAGTCACATTTTTGTAAACCAGTTTCTTATAGGGTAAAAAGAAACGTCATGATGTGCTTGCTGCACATTGACGCGTCTCTTTTTAACTCTATAACTGTGGTTTGCCAAAATTCGACTGCATATCGTCGTTGCCGCGGTGAAACCTCCTATGTGATATTTTATCACATTTTTAGATTTTTGTACCAGTTTATAGAAACCAACATTCTGTACAGTTTAGCGGAACCTCCCATGTAATTTTCTTTTAAAATATTGTGATTTTAGACCTCCCTTGTGCGTAATACGTATAAGGCATCAGAACAAAATTGTTACGTTTTTATATCTACTGAAAATTTTGATGAAATGTACATAGGAGGTTTCACCGCATCAACGACGATATGTCGTAAAATAAGGCGTTTTCTAATATTCATCGATGCCATCTCGCATTCATCAAAACTGTTCTTTTATCCATCAAATTTTTTTAAATGAGTTGTACATCAAATTCTTATATCCAACCTAATTTTTGTTAAATGTCCCTTGTCACTAATACAGTTCCGGCGGTATGTCAAATGTCACACTTGAGCAGACACTTCTGCGCAAGCGACTGAAACACATGTTAATTCAACATTAAACTACAATTATTAAAGTATAACAATACTCATTATATAAATAAACCTAAATCCTTAGTTATATAAACTTTACAATTTTCAGATGGTTGTGACCAAATCCATCGACTCGATTATGTTGACTAATGGACCACGTGACATAACCTTAAATTATTGATTTATATTAAACAGATAAGGAAATAGGAAAAGTTCGCTAAAAATTCTTAATAATATGAATGAAGAAACTCACTGGGTTTTATTAAACCAACCTCTAAGTGGGCTAACTTTTAAAATAAGATTATCAGCATTAAATATACAACAAGCAAATGAAGACAAGTACATATTTTTTCAATTATTGTATTGCCCATACTACTTGTCTTTAGTTTTTATGTTTTCATTAAATAACGACAATTTGACAGTTAATATTACAATATCACAAATGTCAGTCGTTCTTAAATAAGTTAAATCAGATAAAAATCAGGATTGCAACAGTGGGTCATTTATTGGTCACGTGATCCATTATCAGTACATCATTTTGCTGAATATTAGAAAATACCTATCTATATATATAAAAGCGAAATACCATTGACTGACTGACTCCAAAACTCTAAGGCCGATTGACTTGAAATATGGCATAGTTACTCCTTTCTCGACGTAGACGCCCACTAAGGATTTTATTCAAATCACATTTTAAGGGGGGAAACGGGGGGGTGAAAGTTTGCAGGGGATATCGATTTTTTTTAAAGGTAGGAACTTGAAAATTGGAATTGTAACTACTGATCGTAAATAATGACATATTTCAGAGTTTTTGTATTTTCACAGTTTAAGGGAAGAAATAGGAGGGGGGAGGGTAAAAGTTTGTATGGGTATATCAATTTATTTTAAAAGGTAGAAACTTGAAATTGTAGTTACTGATCATAAATAAATAATGACGCATTTCAGAGTTTTTGGATTTTCACATTTTAGGGGCGGGGGGAATGGGGGGTGAAAGTTTGTATGAGAGTAGGGTTTTTTAAAGGGTAGGAACTTAAAAATTGGAGTTATCTATATATATATATAAAATTGTTTGTCCTGACTGACTGACTAACTGACCTATCAAGGTACAGCCGAAACTACTGAGCCTAGAAAGATGAAATTTGGAACATAGGTTTATTTTATAACGTAAGCATCCACTAAGAAAGGATTTTTGGAAATTTTAACTTTAAAGAACGGAAATGGGAAGAAATGTGGGGAGGGGGCGTTTAATAAAACTCTTTGTCCTTTAAAGTTAGAAACATGAAAATTTAAATTACAGCAACTAAGTATAAATAAATAATGACGCGTTTCAGGGTTTTTGGATTTTCACATTTTAAGGGGGAAAAACACGGGGTAAAAGTTTGTATGAGACTATCAATTTTTTTTGTTCTTATTGAAGTTAGAAACATGAAAATTGGAATTGCAGCTACTGAGTACAAATTAATAATGACACATTTCAGGGTTTTTAGATTTTCACATTTTAAGGGGGGGGACCAGGGATAAAAATTTATTTGAAAGTATCGATTTTTTTTAAAGGTAGGAACTTGAAAATTGGAATTGTAGGTTCTCATCTTAAATAAATAATGATTTGTTTCATGGTTTTTGAATTTTCACATTTTAAGGGGGGGGGGGGGGGGGGAATAAAAATAAATAAGTGCTGCGTGCAATCTGGTGATATTAGCAGATGAGAGCAGTACCAGAAATGTGATATATAATGAGATTGTCAATTAGATTAATATATTTAAATATTAGAATAGTCTAATTAACATTAATCTATAATACTATCACAAACATACCGTGAACAGTAAAACAACATATTATCGCGTCTTTTTTTAGAATTTTTTTTTTACACTAAGAACACGACTCCACGCGTGCGAAGCCGCGGGCAACAGCTAGTAATGTAATACGTGAAATATTATTTTTATTATAAATAGTTCAGGGGCGGAGAGAATCGGGATCAACGTTCGTAAATTTCTATAAACTAAGATATAATAATTATATTTAAAAAACATTATACACTTACAGTTTCCCTAATGCTCACATTTTTTATGTTTTGCTTTGTTAATTTCAGATTAAGCGGATTCAAAACCTGTTGGCACAGCGGTGAATATTTCAAATGTTTGATTGTTTTAAGAAGTCGTGTATTGTTTCCGATATTGGCACATATTCTAATTATAAAAGATTTACTACTTATTTTCTTTTCAAGATTCTTAATTATCACAGTTACCATTCCACCTGAAAATATATCTAAATTAATATTATAGTAGAAATATGAAAAAAAAAAACATTAATATTTGATTTAGAGTAAGTCAGGGAATTGTGCAAAAGAACTGGTAGAAAAAATACAGGGTGACTGTAAAAGGTTTTTACAAAAACATACCTACCACATATTCCTTAGACCAAAATAAGTCGATTTAAGTAAAATTACCTTAGTACAAAGTTGCTTCGTTTGGGCTCCAGAGAGTCTTGAAGTTACAATTTTTAAATCGTTTTTCCCATATAAATTTAAAACGGCATATGCGATTTTGCTGAAATTTATAATATTGGTAGAGTTTTATGTGGCAAAAAAATGGTATTAAAATTTTGTCCGATAATAATACATAGTCGTAGAACTTGATTTTTTAAATAATTGCACCTTTAAAAATTCTACGCCAATGGAAGAAAAGAAGTTTAAATATTAAATTTAGATTGCGCAACTCATTTACTTTAAAAAAGGTACTCTTGATAAGACTCGATTATTCTCATGGTTTTGACGAAATTTGCATTTTAGTAATTTTAGAACATAAACAATAATTATTAAAATACAAACTTTGTCAAAACCATGAGAGTAAATCGAGTGTTATCAAGGGTACTTTTTTGTAGTAAATGAGTACCCAATCCAAATTTCATACACAAACCCCTTTTCTGCTATTGGCGTAGAATTTTTAAAGGTGCAATTATTTAAAAAATCAAGTTCTACGCCTATGTATTATTATCGGACAAAATTTTATACGATGAAAAACATAAAATGTACTTTTTTCATATCTTCTTCAACACCTCTAATCGAGACTTTTAACAAAAATACTCGATTCTTGCCATGTACGATTTTTTGGGGAATATTAATTATTTGCCTGCAATACGTATACAAAAACATTGTTGGTTTCCATAGTTTCATCTAAATAAAAATATTGTCAAGTTTTAACACCTAATCTCTTGTTAACGATTGAAAGTGTTCTATCTGACTCAATAATTAAAAAAACAAATGCGTGGTTTATTAATATGGCTGTACAATATACCAATGCAGAATATACCGATATGTTACTGACATTAGGATTTTGTGAAGGAAATGCTCGAGAGAGCGTCAGGGTGTACTCTGAAAGGTTTCCAAATCGTCGTGTACCTAGCCACCCAACTTTTGCTGCTGTTGAGAGACGTCTTCGGGAGACCGGTTCCTTTGCTCCCAACATTGTTGATAATGGAAGAGAACGTTTTGTAACGATTCCTGAAGTTGAAGAAGACATTTTAGAACGTGTTGAAGAAGATCCAGAATTAAGCACCAGACGAATTGGAAGGGAACTAGGAGTAAGTAAAGATGTCGTTCATAAAGTGCTTAGAGAACAATTGCTATATCCATACCATAAGAAGCCAGTACAAGAATTATTAGTCCATGATCCTCAAATTCGTTTGGGTTTTTGTCGATTTGTTAATATGCAAAGAGAAAGAGATCCAAACTTTGTCAAGAAGGTTCTCTTTACCGATGAAGCGAGTTTTACAAGAAGAGGTATAACTAATACCCATAATGAACATGTTTATGCCATTGAAAATCCGCACGAAATAAAGGTAATCCATTTTCAGCACGAATTCAATTTTAATTTAATGTGTGGGCTGGAATAATTGGTAATTTCATTGTTGGTCCTGTCATACTTCCACGAAGATTAACTGGAGAAAATTATTTGGATTTTCTACAAAATACGTTGCCAGAATTGTTAGAAGATTTACATCTCCAACTTCGGAGAGATATGTGGTTTATGCAAGATGGAGCTCCACCACATTTTTCTTTAAACGTTAGAAACCACTTGAATGAACAATATCCACACAAATGGATAGGCAGAGGTAATGACGCACCTGTAAATTGGCCACCACGTTCCCCAGACCTAACGCCGATGGATTACTTTTTATGGGGACATCTGAAATCCACAGTTTACAGGGAACCTGTAGAAAATGAGGAACAACTCTGGCAACGTATTCAAGATGCAATAAACAATCTTAGAGGTGATGAAGAAGTAGTTATGGAAAGGATACATTTTAATTTTCTTCGACGTATAAATCTTTGTATGCGTGAAAATGGTAAACATTTTGAACAATTTTTGTAAAATCTCTATTTTGAATATGTTGTAAATAAATATTTTTGTGAAACCTATACACTCTAAATTATTAAAACAGAAATTTAGCGAAAACCATGTGAGTAATCGAGTCTTATCAAGAGTATCTTTTTTAAAGTAAATGAGTTGCGCAATCTAAATTTCAAACTCAAACTCCTTTTCTTCGATTGGCGTAGAATTTTTAAAGGTGCAATTATTTAAAAAATCAAATTCTACGCCTATGTATTATTATCGGACAAAATTTTAATACCACTTTTTTTGTCACATAAAAGTCTACCAATATACCAAATTTCAGCAAAATCGCATATGCCGTTTTAAATTTATATGGGAAAAACGATTTAAAAATTGTAACTTCAAGGCCCTCTGGAGCCCAAACGAAGCAACTTTGTACTAAGGTAATTTTACTTAAATCGACTTATTTTGGTCTAAGGAATATGTGGTATGTTTTTGTAAAGACCTTTTACAGACACCCTGTATAACAAGAAAACTAAGGTACCCTTAAAACACCAAACTAACTTTATAGAACATTTCTAAATGTATCTAGGAGTCATATCCGATACCAAGTAATATTTTTAAGAGAACTAAATTTTATTAGCCTTTCATTAAGAGTTTATAAAGGAATAAAAATCAACAATTATTTTATAAAAGTTCAAACTGCTCATATGACTTTAGGACAAATTGTTCTTAAAGCAAAAATACCAAGAGCAAAAATATTAAGGACCGATTTCATAATGAAAATTAAAAGGTCCATTAACTAATGGGACAATTAAGTCCATAAGATCTTATATAGAAGATCTGTTAGTTAATGGACATTTTAATTTTTATTACGAAACCGGTCTAAAATATAAATAGTATACCATATTTCCCAAAAACAGGTTAATTTTTAGGACACATTAATTTAAAAAAAAAATAATATGAGATGGTAGTATGTACAATGCAAACTAAGACATGTATTTCAGTATTTGTTTAACTTACCGCCATTTTGCCTATTACGATAGCTAATGGACTTAATATATCCGAAACATGTGTATTTATAATAATTTTTTGAGTCAGTCAATTTCATTTCTAATACACAAAAATCTTCGGATCTGAAAGGCATTGGCATATTTTGGGCAGGAATATCTAAAAATAAATGTTTCTTTATGTTAATAATAATCGTAACCGACAATTTTATAGCAAATGAGACTTAAAATTAAGAGAAAATAATAGTCAACTCAACACTAGTTTTTTTCAACTTACATTCACAATCCAAATACATAATTCTTCCGGCCTTCCTCTCATGTTCTAAACGGACTGTTAAGGGTATCCTACAAAAATATTAATTACTAACTGGATGTACTGAAATCAAATTTATGACAGAAAGTTATATTTTTACTCAGTTTCTTCATTATATTTTTAAAAATATTAGATACTTTCATTAGCTTTCAAAGCTTGTCGCATGAGCGGGGTAATTCTTACTTTAGTAAAGATCTGGTGCTTCAGAGTAAATGGAGAGTGCTATAGAATAGTTTGATTTCTTGAAAACATTGAAATCCTGGCTTTATATTAGTAAATATCAAAATGCAATGAATTGATATTTAAGGTAGTTCAATCATCATGTCCGATAGTCAAGCAGCCATCAAAGCGCTGAGTTCTTACGTAATCAGCTCAAAAATGGTATGGAGATGCCTAGAACAATTGAATGAGCTAGGCGAGAAAAATAGAGTTACTCTCACTTGGGTCCCGGGACATAACGCGGTACAGGGTAACGAGATTGCAGATAGTCTTGCAAGGAAAGGGGCTCAAACACCCTTTGTAGGACCTGAGCCGTTCTGCGGTATCAGCAGTAACATAATATTAGAAGAGATTAAAAAAGAATTGGGTAGTAGAAGAACCGATAATTGGAACAATCTCTTGGGGCTGAGACAGGCCAAGATACTTCTGGGTGAATATAACCAAAAAAGATCGGAAGCCTGCATTTGCCTGAGCAAGAACAGGCTACGTATTGTAACAGGGATCCTTACCGGGCACTGCCGACTAAAAGGACACCTAAGTAAACTGAGAGTAGTAGAGGATAGTGAGTGCAGATTCTGTGAGGAGGAGGACGAAACCTCCATTCACATCCTAACTGAATGTGTAGCACTCCAGAATCCAAGGGCACTATATCTAGGAGGATATCAAATAGAAGAGGGAGACTTACCTAATTTGAAGCCACTTCAAATCCTACACTTCCTTGAGAAAATAGGATTGGAAGGGTCGCTATAGGCATTGAGACATTTCCTTAGTGCAGTGGCGACAGAAGGGGGCATAATAGATCTTTTAGGTCGCAGTCACTGATCTGTATTATTTTACTGGATAGGATATAGGCTATATTTAACATACTAAAAAATCGTTCCACCAAGGAGACCGGAAGTGCAACAATGCTGGCCGATTTGGGCAAATTATGGTGGGTTCACAGAACTGAAATTTGTGATAATTTGACATACCTAACCTATAATTTGATTAGTTTTTCTTCTTATTCTTCTTCTATTCCTTTTGCGGGCGATGTCCTTCGGGAAATTTCACCCATGATTTGATTTTTTATGAAAGAAAATATAAAAATTGAAACGTGAAGCATATTGTGTCTTCAGGAATGAACGTTTATTGTTTATTTCATACTCTTTTTACTTTGTTTTCCACAATAAAAACATCTCATCGTAGCTTGTTGACACAATTAAATGACAAATATGATGACAAATGGAAATAGAGGTTACGTTCAATAACATCCGGTCCGCCATATTATTTGCCCAAATCGGCCAATTTTTCGGAACGTTTTTTAGGGGGCTATATCCTATCCAGTAAAATAATATAGATCAGTGGTCGCAGTGTATTAACACCCCATTATCAACATAACATAAGGTAGTTCAATAAAATTTAAATATAAGGTGTCTTTTACATATGAATTTTTTTGACCGTTTGTGAAAAGACTAAAATTTATATGGAAATATCGTTTAAAAAAAAAAAAAAAATCTGATGGCTATTTTGAATTCTGCACCCAAAAATTACCTAGGAAAAGTTAAAAAAATCGCAGGCACCAAAATGACTGTTGGCTTGTGTTATAGGTCATGATTTTTTGGAAGATTATGACATATTCTTTTGTTATTTATGTAACTCCAAAAATATTTAGGATTAGCATTAATATTATTTTCCATCTCTCTGTTATATTCTTTGTTTAATCACTAATACCTATCTTCACATATTTGGACCAGATCTGGCAACGCCGACAACTATTGACAGCTTGATGTGCGCAATCAACAGAACTCACAATTCTCTATTCTCTCATCCACACCGAAGAGATTCACAACAATTTTTCACGTTTACAGTTTATCAACTAAGAATAATGTAATGTTTATTTAATAATAAAAATACACTGTCAACAATCTATTTCATGGTCCTTCAAGCCGGAAACAGACATTCTCAGACGTTAGAGGTGGGTGCGTTCCATTTATTTTCTGTCCGTTCCAAAATACCTTTAATTTTTTATTCTTTTTTAGTCAATTTTATTGATTATATTTCTTATATGCTTTAAACGTGTTTTTAGCTGCTAGCGGCAACACTAAATAATTCTTATAAAACGAATTTAGGCTCATTTTCATACTTTGCTAGGCATATAAACCTTTTCTCAGCAACACATAACACATTTTTTTTTCTAAATATAGAATGTATAGTACCCTATACTGCTGTTGTTTGACTTAAAATCTTTTTTAATACTTTTGAACATTTATATCTCATTTTGAAAAATGTCTCATACCTCCAAAATTCTTATTGAATACATTTCAGTTTTAAATATTAAACGAGAAGTAATAAAATCTAACATAACTCGCTTTAAAAATTAGGTAGATTGTTTTTCAATTGAATCTCAGGATATAACCGAGTTTGAGTTACGCTACAATAATATTCAAAACTTTCTTGAAGAATTTAATAAATTACAATTCGCCATTGAGTTGGGCTCAACCGACGAAAATGGTACCTTTAATCAAGACTTCTTAGAGAGAGATAACCTTGAAAACATGTATTACCAATGTTGCAAAAAGAGCTCATTGTTTCTGAAGGTTTCGCAAAATTTAATTGAAGCTCTTCAGAATCAACAAACCATGCTAATTCTAAATGTAATTACTTAGAAAATCAAAATAACTTATTTTTAACTGGTGGAGCGAATAGTTTGTTAATCCCACCTCTATAGCGGCGGAGGTACAGACTATAATCTATTTTTATGTATGAGAGAGTATTAAAATAATAAAGCGTTCGTAATCCATAGGCGTAGCACTTCTTTTAGTAGACAATTAAAATATTTTTTGAAGTTATTCCTCGAGTATACACTTATATTTTCACCTAATTAACCTGCTTATAACTTCTAAACAGCTGAAGGTAAAAAAGTGCAATTTTTTCTAAAATGTTTTATTTTTCCACAAGGTATGTTAGGAACATTGTGTCAAACGGGTTATGTAGGTATAAGGGTTTAAACTTTGACTTTTAAACAACGTTACGTTCATAAATAATAATTTTAATATAAAAAACTACTTCTTACCTACAAATCCAAATCAGAATCGAAATCAGAAGATGAACTGTCGCAACCAATATTTACAATGAGTGGCTCGATCATTTCATCAGTAATATTGTCCAACTTTCACATTTTCTCTTCTTTAATCGTATGATTTACTGCCTTTTCCCAGTTTTCAGGCTTCACATTATTTACAGCCTCCAAAAACAACTGTTTAACATCACTCATTTTAAAAGAATTATTTTTTCTTGAAACTTCTCCCTTTATCTGTGCCCATATCAGTTCAATCGGGTTTACTTCGCAATGATATGGTGGTGATCTAACCACCGCCATCCCACGATTTTTTGCAATTTCATCAATTTCATATTTTTTGAATTTCTCTTTATGAAGGGAACACAAAGGATACAGTTCTTTTCTCACAGAACCGGGATGGAACTTAATATTCTTTGAATTTAGCCAATTCTGTAAATCTTTTTTTAACCACTTGGTTGTGGACATTTTTTCTATAAGTCTCGAGTGATAACTTGCATTATCCATTACTATTATACAGTTCTGAGGAAGAAGATCTATAATTTGTTCGAACCACTCTTTAAAGACATCAGCATTCATGTCCTCATGGTAGTCACCGGTACGAGTAGATTCAAAAGTCAATAAACCACCTTTAACAAAACCGTTTGAACTACCGATGAGTACTATTATTAGTCTGCGCCCCTTTCCTGATGGTGGATTTAAACCAGTAGATAAATTATTTAAAAAAGCCTGTCTTCGACTTGTAACAGTTTCATCTTGCCAAAATTTATTTGGTTTATGTCCCTCGTTGATCCATGTTTCATCTAAATAAAATATATTTCTTCTTTGGTTTCTCATTTCTTTTATAGTCCTTAGGTAATTTTTTCTCCATACTACAATATCGCTTCTTTTTATTAAAATAGACTTTCTGGAATGCTTTTTCCATAGAAAACCTATTTCTTTTAAAAGTTTCCATAGTGTGCTTCGACTCATTTCAGGGTAATCCTTATCATCTCGAACCGTGGCAAGAACTTTGTCTACTGTCGGAAATTCTTTTCTAAACAAGAACGCATGCACTTTCCTTCGAAGTCTTTCTTTCAAAAGATTTTCTAATTGAAATTTTGGTTTTCTTGGAGCTTTACGTGCTGTTTGAAACTCGCCACATTTCTCTTCTTTAACAACTCTGTAAATCGTAGATTTCCCAACACCAAGCGTACTACTAACTAATTCCACTGTGTCATCAACACTTTTACATAAATGTTTGTCTGTAAATGATTTAAAACAATTAAATATTAATGTTTTTTCATTAACTGTTAAAGGACCGATTTTTTGTCGTTTACGTGGCCTTTCCAAATTTTCCATGATCACACTAGAATTCACACTGCACCTTGCAAGTTGCAACTAAACGACATTTAGTAAACTGTCAAGAATACACAACTTGGACCTCCTTACTAAATAGAAAACCTATAATCGCATTTTCGGTGAAATTTGTTGGGAAGGTATTTATCTACTTATAATTCGATTACTGTAAGAATTTCTTGGAATTAAAATAAAACAAAATTGGCAAATAGGTACTTATTGAAAATAATCTTAAGATACGGCTATGTAATCTTTAATACACAGGGCTTTTGGCCTGTCCAAACCATTTTCTATTGTTCTGTACAGCTTATGTTTATAAAGGACCAATAAAAGACCCAAAACTTGTAATAGCTCAGGTACATTTATTACAATTTTAGAAAATATTTAGATTATTCTGTAAAAATATTTAAAATGACCGTACTAAGTTTTGCATTAGAAATGCTGTTTTATTACTCTCTCATACATAAAAATAGACTATAACCCAATTTAATAGAAATCGATTACAGCGTATTCAAAATGCCTGCATAAGGTTAATTTGTTTTATTCGGCGCCGTACTCCAACTTCTAATTATATGATCGATTTAGGCTGGCTGAATCTAAACAACAGAAGACTGCTACATACTTTTGTTCAGTTTCAAAAAATTTTACTAACGAAAAAACCAAACTACCTTCATGAAAAAATAAAAAAATGATCAGAGGTCCACAACATTAATGTGCGATTCAAAAATAATCTAATAATCCCTAAACACAATACTTCTTTATTCAAATCGTGCTTCTCTTATAATATAGCTAAACTTCACAATATGGCTCCTCAATTGTTCAATACCTCGCCACTTTCCCGTTTCAAGAAAATCGTCAGACTACACATATTTAATGGACAAACAAAAAAATAAACAAAACAAAAAATAAAATTTAAATTACCTTCACAACACAGATCTACCAAAAACATTAATGTAAATAGTATATAAATTTTAGTTCATTAAATTTAGGGTAATTTTGTGGCTAGATTAGTTTAATAATTTAGTTAATCAAGTAAATTTGGCGGGTATTGCATTTCATGGTTTATACGTTTACAGTAATATACATTTATTTATTGTCCAAGGTTGCGTGGAAGAGCGCTGCTCAATCATTAATCCCTATAGGGATAATGTTTGAGTGCGAACGCCGCCTCTAGCTTTCAGGTACCTAATACATATTTTTTTTGTGTAATTACATTATTGTTAACTTGTATTTATGAAAGCAATAAAGTCATTTTATTATTATTATTATTATTATATTACTTTTTGTGAAAATTAATAAATTTTTCAGCAGTCGTTCCTACACCGAAAGATAGGTTATTAGGTAGTTCTGAACTAGAAATATCGAGATTAAAATTTCAGACAGTCTGTTACTGTTATTCGGGATTGATGGCCTTAGATGAAGACTTCTAGATCTAAATTTTGTAATTACATTCTGGGAGAGCCTAAATATGAATCGTGTTTTAATATCTACATGTATATATATCTCGTTTATTTAGCAAAGCTAATAGTACATTACAAATAAATAAAATTACAAAAAATATTTATCTATATCTAAAATATAACACTAAAATATCACAGATGCTGGCTCGTCAACATATAATCTCTTAGTTTATATTTAAAGGTATTAAATGAGGCGACATTTCGGAGTTCTAAGGGTATCTCATTAAAAGCTTGAAGTCCCTTAAAAAATATTGAATTTTGGGACTGTTTACGTGCAACTTGTGGAATATGAAAATTAGATCTATTTCTTGTGTTATAGTTATGATAGTCAAAGTTGTAATTGATTTTATCAAGTAAATAAGAGGGGACCTGTCCATGTTTAATTTTATAAATGAATATTAAAGTTAAGTACAGAAAATAGTTTTTAACAGAAAGCCATTTCAAATTTTGTAACATACCTAATATATTGGTCCTTCTATCACATGACAATAATATCCTCATTGCTCTATTTTGTAATTTCTGAAGTCTGTTGGTTTCATTCTGATTAAGTAAATACATAATGGTGGCACAATAAGTGAAATGAGGCAAAACTATACTGTTATATAAAAGAATCAATGACCATTTATTAATATATTTTGAGCACCGGTATAAGTAGTTGACTTTAAACGCTACTGTTTTAATGATATAGTTTGCATGATCTTTAAAAAACAACATATGGTCTACTATTACTCCCAGATATTTAATTTTTTTTACGACTTCAATGACATCATTTTCAATACTAATTTTCATATTATTTTCAGTAAATTCATTGTAATACCTAACATTCCCGATAATCATAAATTTAGTTTTGTTAATATTTACTTTTAACGAATTAAAACAACACCAATAATATATTTGCTTTAATGTGGTATTTATAGTAGCGGTTACTTCCTGCAAATTATTAGCAGAATAATACAGCAGAGTATCATCTGCAAACATATGTATGGAGCAACCACCTGCAACTTGAGAAATATCATCAATATATAGAAGGAACAATAGTGGGCCCAATACACTCCCCTGTGGTACGCCTAATTCATTTTTTTGTTCTTTTGATAAAATGTTTTTAAACCTTAATTTTTGTTTTCTATTGTCCAGGTAATTTATAAGCCATTCTAGTGAATTTTCAATAATACCAAAACTTTTTAACTTTTTAATCAGTAGAGATCGATTTACCGTTTCAAATGCTCTTTGTAGGTCTAAAAAAAGAGCACCTGTAATTAACTTGTTGTCAAGATTCTGTTTCCAGTCATTTAATACATATTGTAGTGCAGTCTCGCAGCTGTGTTTACCCCGAAATCCTGATTGATTACTATTAAACATATTATTTTCTTCCAAATATTCAATAAGTTGATTATATACTACTTTCTCTAAAAATTTTTCTACTGTACATAACATATTAATAGGACGTAAGTCCACTGCCCTATTTGAATTCTCAACCTTAGCTATTGGTGTTATTAATGAAATTTTTAGATCGTCTGGAACAGTATTAGTCTCTAACGAGGAATTTATTATATTTATCAATGGCTTAGTAATATTTTCGAAACAGTATTTTAAAAACAGTACATTAATTTCATCAGGACTTCCTTTATTCGACATATCAAAAACAATTTCTTTTAAAGTATCAAAACTAACAAGATTAAACTTTTTAAGACTTACATTATCATTTTTAACAATAATGGGAAAATCATTAACGTTCTGATTTATATTAGATACTAAGTCAATTATACTATCTGTATTTCATTGGTCAAAAAAACACGTTTTAAATTATTCAACGCAAATAATACACTTACTTCCTGTCTTCCTTCTCGAAAGTTATTTGGTAGATATACTGCCACAGTTCCAGGTTCAACAAAGGAATCAGCACTTTCATGTAATGTTCTATACCATTAAAAGTCAATGGAATCGGAACGCAAGTTTTGTTAAAGTTGACAGGAGCAGTCACGTCGCTGTTATGCTGTTCCAGTAACCATCCCACGTTCCAGGAGAGTAAGTCATGTATCTCGTCGTTAATATCTATTCTAAAATTATTCGAAACTGATTGATGAATGGTTTTATTTGTACCAATTTGCCAGATCAATCCCGACCTGTCTTCATTAACGGTCGAATCGGGATTCGATATTGAAGGTTTGTTTAGCGTCTGATAAGACGCCGACCGTAAAAAGTTACTACTCGAAATGGTGGTGTCTTGGACGGTATCGACTTTTTTAAGTCGCGGATCTAACCTTTTATTTTTAGGTGCGGTAGAATCTTTAACTTTGGTATCTTCACTATTAGGCTGAATTGAAATCACTAATTGAGGTGTTTTAGTTGAAATTTTAGTTTTTGTATATTTTGAATTTTTGTTGCTACCTGAAGCAGTGTTAGATGAGGTACTGGGTTGATCCGTTGAGGAATATTCTATATTTGAAAATTTAAGTTTCTCTGGAGCTTTCGTCGCTTTAAAATTGTCACGGGGTGAGTCGATATTTGAGGAAGTACTGGGTTGGTCTGGAAAAGAAGAAGTTATAAATAAACAAATATCGGTGCTGTTGGTTGTAAAATAAAATATGATTTAAAAATACAACATAAAACTTATTATTATTATTATTATACTTTTTACACAGTAATCTGTGAAGAGTATTTATAGGTTTACTTTGTTCAATGTTACGTTTTTGGTTTGCAAGATAAGTCCAAAACGAAAAACGATATCAATTTGAACATTTCAAGAAAAATCAAGCTATATAAGGGGACGGATCCTATCGATTTTGAGAAAAATCTGAATAAAATTGAGGGGTTAAGTGGGGTAGAAATAGTAAAAAAAATCCTAACTCAAAAACTAAAAATAATATCAACTTAAAATTTTTAGTAAAAATTAAGCTCTACAGGGGGATAAAGGCTGTTACGAAATATCGATTAATCGAAAAAAAAAAAAAAAATTAATCGATAATACTCGAATAATTGACTAATTAAAAATAATCGATTAATCGAAAACAATATATTAACCGAAGAGAATAGATTAATAGAAAAATCGATTAATCTAAAATATTCGATTAATATAAAATAATCTAATCGACTAATTAAAAATAATCGATTAATCGAGAATAATCAATTAACCGAAATGAATAGATTTGAAAATAATCGATTAATCGAAATAATCGAATAATCTAAAATTATCAATTTATCTAGAATAATCGATTGATCGAAAAATAATCGATGGTTCACAAATAATCTATTAACCGAAAAGAATAGACTATTTGAAAATAATCGAAAAAATCGATTATTCTAAAATAATCGATTAATCGAAAATAATCGAATAATTGACTAATTAAAAAAATAATCGTTTAATCGAAAATAATCTATTAACCGAAAAGAATAGATCTAAAAATAATCGATTGATCTAAAATAATCGATTTTTTCTTTCGATAATAGATTATTTGAAAATAATCGATTAAACTAAAATAATCAAGCCGACTAAATAAAAATAATCGATTATACGAGAATAATCAATTAACGTTGAAGAATAGATTTGAAAAATCGATTAATCTAAAATAATCGATTAATCGAAAAAAATTGATTGATAGAAAATAATGGATTAATTAAAAATAATCGAATAATAGATTAATTAAAAATAATCAATTAATCGAAAATAACCGATTGACCTAAAAGAATAAATTATTTAAAAATAATCGATTAATATAAAATAATTGATTAATAAAAAAATATATAAAATAATCGATTATTCTGTTTAAATCTGATTAAAATTGGGGGATAAGGGGGTTGAAATTAGTGCTGAGCCATTATCAAAATAAATAATCGATTATTTTAAAATATTCGATTAATCGAATCGACTAATTAAAAATTATCGATTAATAGAAAATAATCAATTAACCGAAAATAGATTTGAAAATAATCGATTAATCTAAAATAATCAATTTATCTAAAATAATTGATTAATCGAAAAAAAATCAACTAAACGAAAAAATCGATTAATCGAAAATAATCGAATAATTGACTAATTAAAAATAATCGATTAATAGAAAAAATCAATTAATCAAAAATAATTGATTGTTGAAAATAAACGATTAATCGAAAATAATCGATTAATCGAAAATAGTCGATTAGTCGAAAATAGATTAATCGATTTTTTCCTACCTCTAGTAGAAACATTAAAAAAAAAACACAAAAACGATATCAAATTATAGGGGATTGAAATCTATTGATTTAAAAAAATTATCGAATAATTAAAAATAACCGATTAATTGAAAATAATCGATTATAAAAGATTAATCGAAAATATTTGAATAATCTAAAGTAATCGATTAATCGAAAATGTCGAGTAATCGAAAATAATGGAATCAACGAATATTTTGTCCACCACTAATAGAAATATTAAAAAAAAAAATCCTAATAAAATTTGAACACAAAAACGATATCAAATTGAAATCTTTAACAAAAATCAAGCTTTATAAAGGGATGAAGCCTATTGATTCTGAAAAAAAAAAAAAAACTAAATAAAATTGAGGGGTCAAGGGAGGGTTGAAATATTTAGCAAAAATCAAACACTATATGAGGACAAAGCCTATAATTAAAAAAAAAATTGGTGAACAAAATGGAGGGTTAACCCTTAAGGAAAGTTGAAAGAACACCTTAAGGAAAGTTGAAAGAACAAAAAATTGAAATCAAACACCAAAGGCGATATCAACATGAAATTTTCAGAAAAAATCAAGGAGATGAAGTCTACTGATTCTGAAAAAAATATGAATAAAATGAGGGGTTAAGGGGGGCGGGGTGTGTTAAACTGTGAAAAGTACAATATAGAATCCCAAGCATTATACAGGGTGTCCCGAAATTAGACGGTCATATTTTAACAGCGTAATCTACATCCTAAAATAGGAGTAAAAGTTCATATAAACATAGGTCCGAAATCGTTTCGTTTTCGAGATACAGGGTGTTACAAGTAAAGTAATGATGGCACATTTCTGTAAATATTTTCTAAAATTTCTTTAGTCACCGGTTTTCCAAAGTTAAAAAAAAAATAAAATTTCTGATTCCACAGGCCTACTAATTATTGTTTACACTTTCGAATAAGATAACATCAACTTATCATGAAATTTTCAAATGCTTTTTTCTTGAAAATGGTGCGTCCTAGCGAGATGCAACAAAAAAAGCTTTATTATAAAGAAAACATTGGTTTTCCAAATTTTATAGTCAAAAATGTTAAAAACTGTCAACAAAAAAAAAATAATTTTACCCTAAGCCCCCTCTAATTTACCCACCTCTGAAAATGATCAAAAACTGGGGTTTAGTCCATTAAATAAAGCATAAAAAGGTAAACATTTGTACCAAATTTCACTAAGTTATCTTTAAACGTTTAGAAAATATTTACAAAAGTGTATCATCAGGACTTCACCTTTAACACCCTGTATCTTGGAAAAGAAACGTTTTCGGACCTATGTTTATATGAACCTTTACTCCTATTTTAGGATGTACATTACGCTGTTAAAATATGACCGTCTAATTTCGAGATACCCTGAGTAAAGGGGCTATGTTCATTCAAGCGCATTCCTTATGTAAATTAACATGGTAAATCGCTAAGGTTCATTCTGCTATTTTTTACGAGAATCTTATCAGTAACTAACTTGTCGATCCACCAACTCTCATTCCTTAACCAGCGACTACAACAAGTGGTATATATTATTATAAAATTAACTTATATCCAGGGTGTCGTTCCTGCTGCTGGTTTGGAACGAGAGGTTTTAAAGAATATATTTTTTTATACTGGGTACTGCTGTTGTAGCTGCTGGAACAAAAACAATGTGTTTTTGCACGAAAATCCACAAGGGCCTTAGCGTGTTTCTCGGACATTACTGGTCCAATTAACGTCGAACAGAAAAATTATTCGCAGTGACAGGTCAAAGGGACTAAAACTAATATCTTTGTTATTGTTGGTCGGATTCAAACGGGAGAAACGGCATTTAACCAGCGACTACAACAAGTGGTATATATTATTATAAAATTAACTTATATCCAGGGTGTCGTTCCTGCTGCTGGTTTGGCATGAGAGGTTTTTTATAAAGAATATATTTTTTTTATATACTGGGTGCTGCTGTTGTAGCTGCTGGAACAAAAACAATGTGTTTTTGCGACAAGCTTGAAGAGCCACAAGGGCCTTAGCATGTTTCTCGGACATTACTGGTCCAATTCAAACGGGAACAACGGAATTACATAGAGAACGATTAACATCGAGTAGAAAAATCATGCGATTGCCAGAAGGGTCTAAAACTTATATCTTTATTTCTATTGGTCCGATTCGAACGGGGCAAACGACATTCAACGTGAACTGTCATCTAGCTGTAATTTCCAACGAAAGAATTACCATCAAAGACAAAAGGGCATTAACGGATCGTTGTTGTTAATTAATGTTTACCTTGAACTGTTATCTGGCTGAAATTATTATATCATTACCACCGGTATCCCACCATCTTTCATATTTTCGATTCTCATGATTTTTGAAAGGGAAATGACACGTGACATACTAATAATGAATTTGTCAATCGTTGTGCCTTATTGACACTTTTTGAATTAATGTCTCCAATTTCTGTAATTTTTGAGTATGTAATGTAATGCAACATACTTATAATGAATCTATCATTCAAACGTCATTTTAAAATGGATGACGAGCTAGAACTACGTGTGATACATCAAATATGGTGGCATATCTTGAAGTGGGGATATAAGTTATTATTTAGTTGAATAAATTAAATAGGTGATTCAATATTTTTTCCTTAGTATCGAGAGTATGTCCAGCGAAGAGAATAGACGTGTCGTTTTAAAAGTAAGTAGATTTTAAAAACTTTTTTAAAGTAACGCTTCAATTATATATAGATTTCACAAACAGTTTTCACGCATTTTTCTCTAGTTAATTATTTTGCTTTTAGTTTTTTTTAAGTAAATCCTATGTTTAATTTATTGATTTTTTATAAATTATTTTCCTGTTATTAACATTTAAAAATTTTCGTTTATAGATGAACTTAAGTAAACTAAATGAATGTTCTTTAATTAAAGAAAATAAACCAATTAGAAAAATTAGGGAGTTGGAGCTGAATCATCCTCATAAAATAACAGAGGAATCCTGGTAAAGACGAAATTTGGTGACTCGGTATTGCTGGATCTGGAGGAGGCAGTAGTCTTCGTCTCCGAAGCGAGTAACGGAAACGTATGCTCCATTCATAGAGGAATTTGAAAGTAAAAAATATAATTTAATCTACAGAGGATTAGTGGATATAGGAAAAAAGAATCCGGCATCATCATTCGAAATTATTGAACGCTAGGAAAGAAAAAAAATATTTTAATGTATAATTGTAATGAAAAAATATTGCTTAATTATATATAATTTTTATATATATTTAATAAAATTTTGTAGAAACTATTTTTGACTTTTATTTTGAGTAAGTATAAAGAAAAAAGAAGCAGAAATATTAATCATAAAAAGAAATTATTTTTGTTATCGTAGTTTTGGTTGAAATATGCTATCATGGTACTCCAAACAGATTCCAGCTAAAGGTTATTGTATATTTGGCTGTTAAAAACTGAAAACAACGCTTTTTGATGTTTGATAGATGACATTGTCAACGTCATGTGTCAAGCATACTTTAGATAAAAAAACGTCGAAAAAACAACGTTTATCAGAAGTGGAGATAGCTGAATAGTGTAAGGCGCAGACAATTGTAGTAAATAACTATAAGATTTAAAATAAAATCAAAACCGCTATCATACCGTTCGACTATCTTCACTTTTTTCTTTAAAATAAAACAAAATAATTTTTACATTAATCATTTATTTAAATCATTAATTACAGAAATTTTATAAAAATAAATGTACTCCCTTAAAACATGGTTTAACAAATCATTTGGAAGTATATCGCACATTGAGCATAACATCTGCAACGGGTAATCACGTGTTTTACAAAAATCGATAATATTATTGTAATATAAGCAGAAATTAAGTTCTTCTAATGTAGCCACTCTATTGGACACCAATTGTTTGTTAGTTTCAAGAATTTCCTGCACTTCCTCTTCACACAAATAGTATTCGACACCATGTTTTTTTACAACCAAGAATTTAATATCGTCATAAACCAGTTCATAGGATTGTAAAATTTTGTCAAGTTCTTCAGAAGGTTGTCGCCTACACTTATCGAAAAATTGATCGAGTTCTGCATCAATATCATCCATATCACTATCGGACATTTCACTCTCAACTAATACTTCGATACCACTGTCTTGAAAGCATGTTGCATTACATTACATACTCAAAAATTACAGAAATTGGAGACATTAATTCAAAAAGTGTCAATACGACACAACGATAGGCAAATTCATTATTAGTATGTCACGTAGTAATGATATAATAATTTCAGCCAGATAACAGTTCAAGGTAAACATCAACAACAATGATCCGTTAATGCCCTTTTGTCTTTGATGGTAATTCTTTTGTTGGAAATTACAGCTAGATGACAGTTCACGCTAAATGACGTTTGCCCCGTTTGAATCGGACCAATAGAAATAAAGATATAAGTTTTAGGCCCTTCTGGCATTCGCATGTTTTTTCTGTTTGACGTTTTCGAGTTCTCTTCATAATGCCGTTTTTCCCGTTTGAATCGGACCAGTAGTATCCGAGAAACATGCTAAGGCCGTTGTGGCTTTTCAAGCTTGTCGCAAAAACACATTGTTTTTGTTCCAGCAGCTACAACAACAGCACCCAGTATAAAAAAAATATATTCTTTATAAAAATCTCTCATTCCAAACCAGCAGCAGGAACGACACCCTGGATATAAGTTAATTTTATAATAATATATACCACTTGTTGTAGTCGCTGGTTAAGGAATGAGAGTTGGTGGATCGACAAGTTAGTTACTGATAAGAGTCTCGACGCGTGGCGTCACCGTAAAAAATAGCAGAATGAGCCTTAGCGATTTCTCATGTTAATTTACATAAGGAATGCGCTTGAATGAACATAGCCCCTTTACTACCATGTATATCTTCATTCTAGTTATATTATTATTACATCTGAATAAATCGATAGATGTAAAGCCAAACCTCACGTGAATAAATTAATGAATTCTGTGTGTGTTTGTATTTCTGTTTGGCACTGGTTTCAAAACCAACTGACCAGTCAATCTTTAATTAATTTTAATAAAGTTTATATTGTGTTAATTCAATTTTAAGTTCTATTCTTACAGTATTTCACAGTTCACATTTTATTTAAATAATACAAATTTCTCTAAATACATTAATAAAGAGTAAGTCCTATAATGTTTTTTCTAGTTAATGTTTTTTGCTTGTTTTTGATTTTTTCGCTTGTTTTTGTTTTTTGTTTTTGCTTGTTTTTTTTTTGTTTTAATTTTGTTTTTTTTTAATCTATTTATTTTTGTTATATTATTTTTTATTTTTTTACATATTTTAATTCCTTTCGTCAGAGCTTTAAATTTAAAGAGTTTACATGATTATAAATAATTTTATATACATCGAGATTCTTGAGCGCGTGAATATGTGACAAATTAATAGGTTGTTGGACATTATGTTGAATAAATTTGGTATATAGATTAATGAATTGATTAATAACAAAATTAAGTATGTTAATCGTATTTGATTAAATATTGAATTTCACAATGCAGATAGAAAAATAAATATATTTACCATTCAGAGATTTCTTGGTAGATTTAAAATTATCGTCATCGTTTTTGCTAACCAATTCTTTCAATTTTTGCTTCCTTAATTCCCTCACCTCTTTCTTTTGAGGTTTGTTTAACACGTCGGACGCTACACTGTGCCTGCGATTTTTTTTAATTTTGCCCAAATCCGGTAGTTTTACTTCTGTAGATTTCCTTTTAGCTGGTGTCTTCTTCTCTTTCTCCTTGTTTGAACTGGCATTATGAGGTTCGACTACTGGCGGTAAAAGATATTTGGGCATTTTATTAATAGGTATTCTTAATTGTGCTAATTTTATTTCTGAATTACCTTGAGCACCATTGTTTTTTTTAATTGTCAATTCTTTTGCTGTTTGTACTGTATGTGAATTATTTTCGTTCAATTCTTTTGGAATATCTAGTAGGTCAGAAGCTGGCGTTTCTATACCATCTGCAAGGGTGTCATAAAGGGTTTCTTGGGTACCTCTTTTCGGAGTAGATTCCTAATAAAATAAAACTAGAATATAAATAAAAGCAGGCACACAAAAGTTCTTTTTATTCTATCAGAATTGTAACAGTAAACATTGTTCCAAAACGAATGATTTTGAAACATAAAAAAGACGGTCCTGTGTTCGCGAACCCAGGTGTTCTTGTTGGCGGCTAACAACAAGGTCTACGTGACAAAAGCCATGTACGCCAACAGACTCAAAACGCGAAAAACCAAAGGCTAACTAGTACAGATGACGTAATCATATGTCTATCTGTCTCCTTAAAACAATACAAATCGTCAGAGAAATTCATGAAGTAATGATCGTCTCTCACCAGCATCATGACAATTTGTTTAGGTTATATAAAAATCACTTAAGTTCTTTGAACAAAGATAGTACATAAAACAAAATGTGAAGTATTAAACATGTAGGTAGTTGTTAAATAAAATAATATAAATATGTACAAAGTTGAAAATTATCGTTGTCCACATGGAGATACTTGCAGCTAGCACCGACAGGAGACAGTACACTTGGTAAGCGTGCCTTAAGGCCGAACGTATAATTTGTGTTTGGATTCAACTGTTAGAAACCTACAAATCCAACACAAAAAAAATTATTAACGTCTCTCGACTCAGTTATTGTCAACATTTACATGGAATGGTTAGAGGAAGAACTTCCGGAATCTTCTACAATATGTACTAAAATAAGAATTTGACCTACAACACATCGAAAAACTATAAACTTCGCTAAAGAAGTCGAAAAGAAGGACACATACAGTTTTTGAATGTCCACATTTTGAAACCTTGATACTCAATATGTCTCAAAAATGTACACACATGTCACAACATCTAAACTTCCAATCAAACCATGGTAATTCCATACAAAAGAATCAAATGAGTTAAAATTCAGTACAGGATAATGTATTTTAAATGAGAAACTGTGCAAAGCTTCAAACCATGTACAAATCCGCATTTAAAAATATGTTTAGCTAAATAATAACACTGAAATATACAAAGCCTGATTGATTTATTAATATTGAATGTTGAATTAAATAAACAGAGTGTGATAACCCCACAGATACAAAATCACTTTCGCACAAGTGATGTACCTACATTATTTTTCCTATGACTGCAAGACAAATTTAAAACCAGCTGTCCAGCTAACTGAAGGTGCAATCTGAATTTGGCTGGTTTCTATGTTTATAGTAGAATCGGAATCGAACCGGAGTAATAAATCTGTCGGATCAGAAAATTTCAGGTGTGTGTGTGTGTGTGTATATTATTATTTATGGGGTATATAAAATCTTCATTTAAAAATATATTTTTTTGAATACGTATTATTGAGAATTATTTCGGTATGTAGGTACTGTTGTTAAATAGGTAATCCAGTGATCCATACATCATTGATTATAATGACATAGAATGTCAATTTATTTTTCTTTAGGAAGTAAGGTTAATATAAAACACATGGTGTAAGGTGTAATACCTAATAACGAATTACTTGTACAATAAAGTATTAACAAGTAGTAAATATTGTATAAATTATTAAAACAACAGGTTGTGGGCCCAAGTTATAAAAGATACTACTAAAGTTATTAAAGAATATTAAAGGTTTAAAAAGGCGAGCCACGTGAAAAAAAAAATGGATTCTGAAGGCGTAAAGTTTAGTTTTTCAAGATTGGACAATAACAATTACCAAAATTGGAAATTCAGAATTAAAATGATATTGATAAAAGAAGGAAATTGGTCGGTGATTGTAGAAGCAACACCTTCGACACTAACAGAGGAATGGAAACGTAAAGACGAAAAGGCACAAGCCACCATTTCATTAAGCATTGAAGACAATCAAATAATACACATTTGTAAATGTAACAATGCTAAAGAAATGTGGAACGAACTACAGAAAATTCATGAGAGAAGTAATCTCAGTAATAAGTTGTATTTACTAAGAAAACTATACCAGTCCAAACTAGAAAGTAAATCTATGTCTGACTACATTAAAGACACATTAGAATTGGTTGAAAAGTTAAGAGGTGTTGGTGAAACTATAAAGGACTTTCATGTAGCATTACTCTTGGGAGGTTTACCAGAAAAGTATTCTACATTAGTAACAACATTTGATGCCAGACCCGATGACGAATTAACCCTTGAATATGTGAAAGGAAAATTATTAGACGAATATAGGTTAGGTTGAAAATGAGTGGGATGATCTCATCGCCCTCCACTGCGACCCAGATGGGTCTATTGTGGCTCATAACTAACTTATAGTTCACCGTACAAGCCACACCTTTTGATGAAGGTCATGGTTGAATTGGGTGAGACTTCTCTAAAGTCGGTAGGTTCCAGTCGGGTAGACTAATAATTTAATAATTCCTTTGGTCATGAACATTTTAAACATGCTAAAAGAATTTTAAAATATTTGAAAGGAACTATGGATAAGAGTCTAATTTTCTTTAAAAATGATAAAAATATTGTTGGCTATGTAGATGCTGATTTTTCTAATGATATGAATGATAGAAAATCATACTCAGGATACATTTTTATAATGTCTAATGCTGCAGTATCCTGGGAATCTAAAAAACAATCATGTGTTGCGCTTTCCAGTACAGAAGCGGAATATATAGCGATGACAGAAGCTAGTAGTGTTTTTATTGTAGGTCTCCTTAATGAGTTTATAGAGCAAACTGAACCTTTATTACTTTTAAATGATAGTCAAAGTGCTCAAAAACTCATAAAGAATCCTATATATCATAGTAGAACTAAGCATATAGATACAAAGTATCATTATGTCAGGGAGGTCATTGAAAAAGGCATAATTATAATTGATTTTGTACCAACTGACAAAATGATAGCTGATGTATTGACAAAAGGTCTAAATAGTTTTAAGCATCAATTTTGTATTAAAAATTTTGGTATGTATTGACTAATCACTGGATTAAGGGGAAGTGTTGTTAAATAGGTAATCCAGTGATCCATACATCATTGATTATAATGACATAGAATGTCAATTTGTTTTCTTTAGTAAGTAAGGTTAATATAAAACACATGGTGTAAGGTGTAATACCTAATAAAGAATTACTTGTACAATAAAGTATTAACAAGTAGTAAATATTGTATAAATTATTAAAACAACACAGTATTGGGTCCACTCATATTTCTCCTTTAGATAAACGACTTGCCTAACTTCATCTCATCTGATCACATTTCAATATATGCAGACGATACCAATGTTGCTGTCGATGCAAACTTACCAAATTGTCTCTTGTTGCTAGAGAATTTACTGCATGGTGTAAAAGAAATGCATTAATTGTTAACTCCAACAAAACAGTACTCATTCAATTCCATACTAGATTAAGAATAAGTACAGATTTTTTAATACAAATAAATAATGATTTTATCCCACTGTCCATGAAAACAAAATTTGTAGGAGAGTTCTTATAGATGCAGATATGAACTGGAGTTCCAATATTGACTGTTTGCAAAAAATTAAATAGTATGTACTATGCAATTTTCCAATTGAAAAATATGTTTGACACTAAACAGCTTCTTCAAGTTTACAATGTTATAGCATATTCATATTTAGCTTATAACATATTGCTTTGGGAAAATGCGACTGATACGTTAAGAGTCTTTGTTTATTAAAAAAGACTAGACTAGAGATCTTTTTAAAAGATATACTGACTCTTCCAGCAATATATATTCTCAAATGTGCTATATACAGTAAAACAAACATCTCCAAATTTACCCATTACTCAGATAATCATAATTATATTACTTGTAGTGGCAATTTACTACGCATACCCCTCATGTTTCAACCATATTCAAAAGAATTTATACTACTGTGGAATAAGGTTATTCAATCATCTGCCTACCTTTCTAAAACAAATTAATAATATGAACCCATTTAAATGCAAATTAAAAAGCTATTTATCCCAAAAATGCCCCTATAGCATTCATGAATTTGTCCTGTAGTTTTTCTAGTACAAGGTACAGCCAGCCTATGTCATATGGGTGTTTTCAAGCATATCATTTCTAATTTTAATTTTTGTCTATTTATTGTTAAATTGTATATTTAAATGTGTTAGATGTTTTGTAAATAGATACTATTATACATCTTTACATGTAAATGACTTATCCTGTATCATGTATATGATCTAAAAGGATTAATAAAATATTATTATCAAAAACAATGTATCAATTAAAAACATTCTATACTTACTAAAACGTCAAGTAAATCGACGGTATTCTCAAAATGGTCGACATCGTCTGTCAAATCGATAGATATAACATTTCTTTCGTTACAATAATCTAAGTATTCGAGTTCTTCCTTGATATCGTGGTACGGATTAAAACCTTCTTCGTAATCTTCCGGTTCTTCTTTGATTTTTTCGGAAATTTGAAAAATCTGACTGCAGGAAAAATCGTCGTCTTCTCCGTCGGATACTATGATACACTCGTTCGCAGAGGTTGTAAAGGATGAGTTTTGTTGGTTAATTACTGGTGTTTCTTTAATACTGCTACGCTTGTTTGCAGAACTTGTATTGACGGCTGGTTTTCCTTTCTTAATACTGTTACCGTTAACCATATTGTTTGTTTCTTCTGTTTTACTACGTTCGGCTACATCGCTGGAAGTGCTAGCTTCTGCTTGAGTAGGCCCTGAAGCCTAAGAAAACATTTGAAATTTAAATTTAATTAAAACAGAAGATTGAAAAACAAGAAATATTAGTTATTTGTATTTAAACAACAGTTGTTTAGAAACTATACTTAAACAGGGGCAAAAAAATTCCAATGCACGTCATCAAGATTAAAATAAGTATTCCCCACATGTGTATGCAAAGTAGCTCTTCATGGTCCATTTAACAACAAAAATGAGGTTGTGAAAAAGCATATGTTTAATAATTGTTATACTTCTTTTTTATATGTTCAATTAATAATTTCGAGACTTCCTACACGAAGGAGGCGTATGCAGATTATTTTCCGCGGAATAATTGTTTTCATATTTTAACAAAAAATAATTCGCATACATTTACTAATCGTTCAGAATCATTCACTTTCAATACAAATTCAAAATTGCTTGGTGACGCTGCTGCATTCGAGTATTCTTAGATATTTGGCTAGGACATGTTAAAAAACGCATACATTAAAAAAAACGTAGCATCAAATCTGTCATTATTGACCAATCTATAAGAGTATTGAAAAATAATCCACTATTGTCAATGTATAGCTGACCGTTATTTTTTAATTCTGTATTTATCAAACATTAGTCCTACTAATTTTCAAGTTTAAATGATTTTTTTTTCATTGTTTTATATGTTTCGAATTTTCCCACAATCAGCTTTATCAAGACGTTAACAATTGAGACTTATTTTGATTATTAACTATTACGTAATGCTTACATATAAATTATATATCAACTAGCTGTTTCCCGTGACATTGCACGCGTGGTGTTTAATTTATAATATCAAAAAATTCTTGATTATTAATTTTTATTAATTTTATTAATTTTTATTAATTTTTATTAATTTTTATTAAGTTTTATTAATTTTTATTAATTTTTATTAATTTTTTATTAATTTTTATTAATTTTTATTAATTTTTATTAATTTTATTAATTTTTATTAATTTTTATTAATTTTTATTAATTTTTATTAATTTTTATTAATTTTTATTAATTTTTATTAATTTTTATTAATTTTTATTAATTTTTATTAATTTTTATTAATTTTTATTAATTTTTATTAATTTTTATTAATTTTTATTAATTTTTATTAATTTTTATTAATTTTTATTAATTTTTATTAATTTTTATTAATTTTTATTAATTTTTATTAATTTTTATTAATTTTTATTAATTTTTATTAATTTTTATTAATTTTTATTAATTTTTATTAATTTTTATTAATTTTTAATAATTTTTATTAATTTATATTAATTTATATTAATTTTTATTATTTTTTGTTAATTTTTGTTCATATTTATTTATTTTTATTTATTTTTATTTATTTTTATTTATTTTTATTTATTGTTATTCTTATTTATTTTTATTAATTTTTATTAATTTTTATTAAGTTTTATTAAGTTTTATTAATTTAATTTTTATTAATTTTTATTAATTTTTATTAACTTTTATTAATTTTTATTAATTTTTATTAATTTTTATTAATTTTTATTAATTTTTATTAATTTTTATTAATTTTTATTAATTTTTAATAATTTTTATTAATTTATATTAATTTTTATTATTTTTTGTTAATTTTTGTTCATATTTATTTATTCTTAATTATTTTTATTTATTTTTATTTATTTTTATTTATTGTTATTCTTATTTATTTTTATTAATTTTTATTTATATTTATTTTAATTTATTTATTTTTGCGATACTCCTCATTTCCCCCTCCTTAAAATGTGAAAATTAAAAAACCTTGTAATACGTCATTATTTACTTATGAAGAGAAACTAGAATTCCAATTTTCAAGTCCTATCTTTAAAAACTGAAAGTCTCATACAAACTTTCACGCCCCTAAAACCCCTGAAACATGTCTATTTATTTATGATGAGTAGCTACAATTTCATATTCCCTTACAAACTTGTATCCCCCCCCCCCCCCTTCGACTTAAAATATGAAAATCCAAAACCCTGAAACACGTCATTATTTATTTGTGATAAGTAGCTAAAATTTAAATTTTCTATTTCTTGCCTTGAAAAAAATCGATACTCCCATACAAACTTTTACCCCGCCCCCCATTTACCCCTCTTAAAATGCTACAATCCCAAAAACCCTGTAACACATCATCATTTATTTATACTCAATAGCTCTTTTTCAAATTTTCATGTTTGATTACCACTATGCAAAAAATCATGCCGATCTGTGAAAAACAAATTTATCCCACGGGAACTGTACTTTCTGGGATAAAAAGTAGCAGATTATAATCTATCTCTGTGCCAAATTTCATCCAGATCCGTTCAGTTGTTCTGGTGTGATTGAGCAACAAACATCCACTCATTCATCCATATATCATCCATCCATCTATCCATATATCATCCATCCATATATCATCCATCCATCGATCCATCAATTCATCCATCCATCCATATATCATCCATCCATGTATCATCCATCCATATATCATCCATCCATCTATCATCCATTCATCCATATATCATCCATCTATCCATCCCATCCATCCATCCATCCATCCATCCATCCATCCATCCATCCCTCCCTCCCTCCCTCCCTCCCTCCCTCCCTCCCTCCCTCCCTCCCTCCCTCCCTCCCTCCCTCCCTCCATCATCCATACATACATACAGGGTAATTAATGGGATTTGATTCTGCATTTTTTTAGACATTTCAAATTTATGTGACGTCAGCGTTTAGCGAACCGCAGCCGTTTTAATTTTTTTTAATGGAAATGTAGATCGAATAATATATCAGAGAAAAGCTTATTTTTTTTCCTCTTTTCAAAAATAGTAAAAAGTACCACACTATTAAAGTAATACAGTTTTGCCAGACCTTTTTCGTTACCCTGTATATATAGGATAAGAACACATTAACAATGTAATACAGTCCCATTTATCACCCTACAATTTCATAATTACACATTCATTCGTTTCAAAAAAAAATTTTTGTTGCAAGACTTTTACGCTACGCCCCGTATTTTACTATCCAGTAATTGAATATTCAAATAGAATCGAGTAATAAATTGATCAGTGAAAAACTCAATATGTGAAAAACTCACCTAATATCAAATGGTCAATATACACAAAATAAAATAGTCACACGGTGCAGTTCTTACTCAGGTAGAATTTCTAGTAACTCTGTTAAAACTATTTTAAAATTTCCTGGACCCAGACACTCTCACACCCTATAAGTGGTTATTAATCAATCAACACTTTGTGTGTTTATTTTCAAAGTAATGTTCATCTTAAGGAACTTAATAGATGAAATGAAATAGTTATTACATTGTTTTCACTGAATTTTATGCATATTTTTTTATTAATTTTTCAGAATTTTAAAAGCAAATATTTTGAGGAACTTTAAAGTTCCCAGCAACAAGCGAGCATAGAATAATTTTATAGTTTCAATACCAACAAAAATTTCAACAAACAATATTTTCAGTGATTTGAGAATTTTACTAAAAATAATATCTACCTAAATACCCATTCATTTAATTCTGTATCGGATAAAAACTATAAAGTACACTATATAAATGTGGAATTCAACTGAATTTGAATTTAAACATAATTGTGGAGAAATGCTTTGCTAGCACTGATGAAACATGAACTGTTTACATTTTTGCTTACTTGGACATTTAAAAAATCTGACACATTTGGTTACTGTTGTAAATTGTAAATGCTGTTGACTTTATTATTGTAAAGAAGCTCATGGTGAAGGTAAGATTTTTTTGATTTCTTTTCTGTAATATACAAGAATTTTTCTTTAAATTAATAAAAAAATAGTTATGCTGTAAACTATAGGAAAATATAGGGTTTAGGAGACGTTCAAATATTACTGACACAGGAAAATATTATAAATCTTATGTAAGATAAAAAAATTACAAAATAATGAAAATGTTTTAAGATAACATTTTTAATTTCAATTAATGTAAAAGGATGAAAAGGAAAGAAGAGAGAAATATATAGAGAGAGATAAAGATAAACTTTATCTAGTAAACAAAGGTCAAAAGACAAAGGAAATAAATAATGTTTATATAATTACAAAACAATAAAAAATGACAAGTGTTAGGATGTTTTGATTGATGGTCGAGTCGCTGTCCATTTAATGCACATAGTCGGGTTTTCCTATAAAGAAGAAAATATTCGTGAGTGTCCGTGAACATTACTTTAGTAATTATTTATTATCTTTATTAATATCTCAATAATTATTTATTATCTTAACATTTATTTCAATAATTATTTATTATCTTAACATTTATTTTCTCAATAATTACTTATTATCTTATTTATTATCTCAATAATTATTCGAACAATCACCAAATACAAAGGGATTTAGACACGCAATGTACTTATTACTGTTTTGTCTATTTCATTATTAGACATAGTACCTAGGAGTATGAAATGTGATCACGAAGGGATATAACGCGCGACGTGACCCCTGCCTAGTTACTACCCTTTAGTACAAGGGGATTCGACACGCGATACGCCCCATATTTCTACTAGTACTGAGCTGTGCAATGAGTATGAAGGGATTAAACGTGCGACATACTCGCTCCACCTACTATAATCGAATAAAATTACGGGTTTTGAGCTTACATTAAATTGTAATTAGATGAAACAAAATGGATTCTATGTATTTTGAGGTGAACTTTTCGAAAAAAAGGCAAAACAAAATGTAGCTGTTTTTCGAAAGTGCCGAAATTTTGAATTTTGTCAATTTTTCAATTTTGCGCAGGCGCATGACGGAAATAAATCATTTTCAAAACGCAATTTACGACATTTAAAAGCTTAGGAAAAATGCTAATTTTCATGTATCTTGAGAAATTTTGATCCGATGCACCGTTCTCGCGGTATGGACGATTGAAATTTGTTTAGTATTTTGAGGCAGCGAAGGTCGAAAAATTGAATTTGTTAAATGTTCAAACACTAAATTCTTCATAACTTTGGTAAAAATTAGGATATTTGAAAAAACAAAAATGCGTTTTGAAC